ACCTGGTAATACCGAGAAGATCGTATTCGGTAAAGTGGAGAAAATCGCTGGGTGCTGTGTTGGACTGGTACAAAGTAGCGACAACAAACAGGATAGGTACTTAGTAGGACAATCATTGGTTAACACCGACAAGAATATACCGATCAGAATTGCGAATGTTTTCCCGAATTGTGTCAAGATCCAAAAAGGTGACAAGATAGCCATCTGCGAACCTGTAAGAAGTGTCACCCGATGTGATGAAGTGTCGTCAGCTGTTACACAAAAAGGCATCCCAAGAAACACTAAAACATCTAGAACAGCCATGGGATCACCTAACACCTGAGGAGAAACAGAAGGCTAAGCAGTTCCTGCTAAAGCATGGCAGTATTTTTGAGAAGAACAACAGTGGAAGAACGGATTTTGTGAAGCACCGGATTAATACTGGTCATGCTCAGCCGATTCGACAACGTCCTAGAAGAGTTCCCCTTTCCAAACAACAAGTAATGGAGACAATGGTAGATAAGATGTTAGAAGAGGGAGTAATCGAAGAATCATCAAGTCCATGGTCATCTCCGTTGTTTTGGTGACGAAGAAAGATGGTAGTACACGATTCTGCGTGGACTATAGGAAGCTCAATGACGTCACTAAGAAAGATAGCTACCCACTGCCACGTATAGATGACACATTAACAACTCTGGCAGGTTCGTGCTGGTTCTCCACTCGACTTAAAGAGTGGATACTGGCAAGTTGGTCTGGACGAGGACGATAAAGAAAAGACGGCTTTTCTACAGGAAGCGGCCTATACCAATTCAAGGTTATGCCATTTGGATTATGCAATGCTCCAGCCACTTTCGAACGTCTCATGGAGGTGGTGTTAAGAGGATTAACTTGGAAAACGTGCTTGGTTTACCTCGACGATGTATTGGTTATGGGAAGAACTTTTGAGGAGCATTTGCGAAATTTAGAAGAAGTCTTCGGCCGCATACGGAATGCTCACCTGTGTACTTGAACCCGAAGAAGTGTAGCTTATTCCAGCGACAAGTGGAATTTTTGGGCCATGTAGTCTCAGCAGACGGAATTTACACCGACCAGAAGAAAATCGCTGCAATCAAGGATTGGCCTAAACCTCGCGACAAACATGAACTTAGAAGTTTTCTGGGTTTATGCACCTATTACAGAAGATTTGTCAAGGGATTTGCCAATATAGCTGCACCCTTACATAGACTTACAGGTGATGAAGTCGGCTACGAATGGAACACCGATTGTGATGTAGCCTTTGGAAGACTTAAGGCGGCTTTATGTTCAAGTCCTATTCTAGCCTACCCGCAACAACAAGGGAGGTATATCCTGGATACCGACGCCAGCAATATCGGCATAGGTGCAGTGCTATCACAAGTGCAAGATGGCGAAGAACGAGTGATAGAATATTACAGTCGAGTTCTATCCAAACCAGAAAGGAATTACTGCGTTACCCGGAAGGAGCTGCTAGCAATTGTGAAGGCAGTTGATCATTTTCATAAATATCTGTACGGCCAAGAATTTTTAATTAGGACAGATCATGCGGCTCTCAAGTGGCTTATGGAGATGAAACAACCTGAAGGTCAAATAGCACGATGGCTCGAGAAGCTCCAACAGTATCACTTTACCATCCAACATCGTGCTGGAAAAATGCATGGTAACGCAGACGGTTTATCCAGAAGACCCTGTCAAACCGATTGTAAGCACTGCTGTAAAACGGAACAACGTGAAGGCACTGTCATGATAAGGAGTTTTAAACTTGGAACCGATGAACAGTGGACGACGACACAATTGAGGAAAGATCAAATGGAAGATCCAGACATCGGAGCAATACTACGGCTCAAGGAAGGTAACGGCGAGAGACCACCGTGGCAGGATATTGCGGACAGAGGGCTCGTTTTCAAAGCTCTCTGGGCTCAGTGGAATTCACTGGTTATTGAGAATGGATTGTTAAAGCGCACATGGGAAAGTGCGGATGGCAGCACAGTAACAACTCAGTTACTGGTACCAAGGAAGAAAGTTACCCAGGTATTGGAAGAAATTCACGGTGGTAAAACTGGAGCCCATCTTGGGGTAAACAAGACCTTGAGCAAGCTGAGAGATCGCTTTTACTGGGTGGATTATTGCGAAGATGTCAAGAAATGGTGTCGACAATGTAAAATTTGTGCAGCCAGCCAAGGACCAAGCACTCGATCTAGGGGAAAAATGAAACAATATAACGTTGGACTGCCATTCGAAAGAATCGCTGTTGACATTGCAGGCCCATTCCCTGAAACGCACAAGGGCAACAAGTACGTTTTAGTGGCGATGGATTATTTCAGTAAATGGCCAGAAGTTTTTGCCATTCCAAACCAAGAAGCATCGACTGTAGCTGAAGTATTGGTCAATAATGTCTTCAGTAGATTTGGAATTCCCTTAGAGCTTCACACTGACCAAGGAAGGAACTTCGAGTCAAGACTGTTCCAGAAGATGTGTGATCTGCTTGGTATTCACAAGACTAGGACAACAGCTTTACATCCGCAGTCTGATGGGATGGTCGAAAGATTCAATAAGACCATTGAAGAACACCTCTCGAAAATGGTGGCCGAACATCAAAGAGATTGGGATCAACACATACCGCTGTTCCTAATGGCGTATAGAAGTGCAGTTCACAACACCACCGGACTTTCACCATCGAAGATTTTATTTGGTCGAGAATTACGGTTGCCTTGTGACTTGGTGTTCGGATCACCAGACGACGGCACCACAAATGTAGAGGACTACGCGGATGAACTGAAGGAAAGGTTAATGGAAATTCATAAGGCCGTAAGAAGTAAGATTACGCTAGCCAGTGACCGGATGAAAGCTCGTTACGACCTCAGAGCCAATTCTACGGGATTTCAACAGGACGATATGGTATGGTTATATAACCCACAGCGCAAGAAAGGGAGGTCCCCAAAGTTAACTCCAGCATGGGAAGGTCCTTATACAGTCATCAAGAGGATAAATGATGTTGTGTACCGGATTCAACGCAGCCCTAGAAGTAAGATGAAAGTAGTTCATCTGGATCGATTGAAGAGATACCAGACAGGAACCTTGATCGGGACGATCAAATTTGAGAAAGGGGCAATGTCAAGAAAAAATGGCGTATCCGCCAGAAATTAAAATGTATTACTGGTTGCCTGCACAACCGCAACGTATCCGCCAGAAATTAAAAGACTTTTTCAGGCGCCATCTTTTAGTCAAGTCGAGAAGTAAGGGAATCAGACAATGGAATTGTCTGGTATGAAGAAGTACGCTTTCCGAGAATTGGGGAAATTTCGAGAAGCAGTCAATAGAGTATATAAGCCGGAGCCATCGACAACTGAGACAGTTTTTGATTTGAAATTTTGTGGATTTGTCAGTCTTTACGGAGCTTATTTTATGTTATTTATTATTTATTCTACTACTGATAGTTGTATAAAGGTAGTAAATCTAGATGGAAATTGTGGCAGAACTTAAATTAACAGTGACACTATCGCGATTTATCGAAAAAGACTCTAAAATAGTTGGTTGTGTACATGTTGTGTAGCGTGCGGTAGATCTCGGCAAAAATCGAGTGAAATAATGGAACAACGCTAGTAAGTGTCTATATAATATACATACGTGTAGTAAACCGATCATTTATGAAATTCACTTAAATTAACTAATTATATATTTTTTCTTGCATTTTTGCTTTTATTTACTACTTGTCAAAGATTAGATGTAAAAGAATTTAGATACGTCAATTTGACTTACCTGCTTCAGTAGCGTATCGGATGTTTATGGTTATAAATAATTATTATAACTTATCTATTTTTATTAGAATTTTATATTTTTATAACAATTTTAATAACTACCAACATTTATTCACAAGGTAAAATAAAAAAAATTATTGAGTCTACCCCACGTCTACCCTATATAATAGTTTTACATTTTTTAAATAAAATTACTAAATTTTTCTAAATATAATTACTTATTGTTAAACCGGAATTTAAGTCGGCCATATTTGAGGCCCATCGCGGTGGACCTAAGATTTTTGATATGCTCCTTCCTTAGTCTTCTTATTCAAAGACTTCTACTAACTGGTCCCTAGTGCTCTACATGTTCGAAAGGGTTATAACCCTCCCTATTGCACAAATTTATTTTTTGTTCAATTTTATTTATAGTTCTTGAAACAGATCTTCTCCTTATACTTCCGAATGCATTTTGTACTCTTTATTGTAAATGCTGAGATGATTTGATTTCACACACACATATTCATTTTATATTATTTTTATTATTTTATTGTATTTGATTTTCCGTATTCAATGTTTTACCCCACGTCATTATTAAGTTTGAAAGCTTAGCAATATTGTAACGATGAACAGATTAAATATTTAAAAAAACAGATTCGGACTTGAAATTAGTTTAAATATATTGTGCTCAAATTTCCGAAACAAAAAAAAATTAAGTGTGGCATATCATTGTACTCAGGAGACCGAGTTCTTTCATAACCTGAAATAAAAAATTCAGGTTCGTATTTAAAAAAAATTAGTTGGCCTCTGTATCTCACAAATTATCAGCTAATTTGAAAATATAAAAATACTATCAGATAGCCCTAATAAAGTGGCAATGAGAATGTGCAATTAGTTTTTTGATTTTGTAAAAAGCAACGACAGAAAAAAATAAAATTGATTTTCAAAAAAATCCGTTTTTCCCAAAAACTCGCCAATCCTTGAAATTTTTAAAACTTTTTTGATTGCATCTTGGTGAACATCCCAAAGCGCAACTTTGCCCCAATTTAACCATGTTCGTATCTATTACGGTTACCGAGATACCAATGCTCGTACCTCGAATTTGTAGCACCCTGTATATACCAATTATAAATTAAACAAGACATACAAAATCACAACTTGCGTAATCCAAATTCCCATAATGTTAAAGAGAAAAGACAAACAAAAAAGAATCAATAAAAATAGTATCGACTCATTTCTTAGTTTTTTTTCAACTGGTTATGAACTCACTTGTATAATTTCACCTGACATCAGACAAAGTTTCTTATTATCATCTAAAACAGTATTCATGTTCTCTATCCATACGGCGTCAACAGGACCATCAAATAATATCCATTTACGGTCCAGAGTATAACTATTAGCAAACTCCCTATAATTTAGAGAAATATATTTCTAATTAATAAACTTGTGATTATCAGCAATTCTAGAAAATTAACCTAAATGTTGTAGCTAAAACTCCATCCGACCACTCGTGAGATGCGGGGTCAAACTGGCCATAAAGCTGTCCCATTGAGATGGCCTTTGGGTTGATAATTCTAAAAATGACGGCATGTTCCTCCAGTTTGGCATTTTCTCGACAAGCAAGGCGTCCTAGAGCTTCAGCTAAAGACTAAATATAACTATTATTAGGTAATGCTCTATACCAATATAAATATTTTCATACTGGACTCTAATAATCATTAGTTATTGGGTACGTTCAGTCATGGTCAGAAGCTGAGTAGCTGAGAAAGCGACTTCCTGAAAAAATTCTGACACACAACAAGTCAACGGTGTTTATATCCACTTTTCTATGTTTATATCCTTATTTATAGTCAAATGTATGTAGAATAACCTCATTTCTTCTAGTACTTTTAGCATTTAACGTTAAAAATATAATCACACATTGTATTTTTTTAATAATATTTAACACCTATGAAAGTTGCTGTTTCTTTTCGCAGGTTAGGAAATACCGCGATATGTCAGAAAGCAATGTCGGCGAAAATAGCTGTTGTGGCTGTTGTGTTCTCTGAACACGCTATAGTATATAACGGCTATAGCATATAAGCCCTGGTCACTTCATCTGCGGGGTCTGTATTTTAATGCATGCTACAGAGGTAAATATAAATAACCGGTTGACTGTGTTGCCGGTTTTTACGTTTGTAGAAAAATGTGTGTAAAAAAAATAAACTATTTTAAAAACTTTCATTTATGCTACTGAAATGAAGATAATATATACAGGTTGTTAATTTGTTTATTACTCGCGGCAAGAACTTTATTGTTTGATATATGGCAACCTCGGCCCGCTCGTCGCGACCCGACGCGACGGGACTAGTCGGCAGCTTAGCTTAGTACTCATTTGGAATGTAGGCAGTGTTGCCATTCTGTTCCCCAATAAGTAACCGTCCAGTTAGCAATCTGTATAAGCTAAATTTAATATATTACAGCTGTGATAAAATCAATACCTCATTGTAAAAAATAAAGTTCCAACCCTAGATGCAATATTTTTCATAAACACCTACTTGTGCTGTTTGAAATTTTGATCAAAATCTGACAATACCGTATAGAAGAAATGTATTAACCCAACTTTTATCTCTTTTTAATACATTTGATTTTCTATTAAGCTGTTAAACACATTAAAATCCAAACTACGCAGTTTCGATGACCAGATCAGTATAGTTGCGGAAAGTTAATTGATTTAAGAAATACCAACTAACAAATATATTTATTTTAATAAAAATATTGTAGATACTGCAATATTAAGGCCTCTATAGAGACCATATTACGCCAATGAAACCAAAAAAAAAGTATTGCGCAAACAACGGTTAGACAGATATGGATTAAAAGAGTATATTAAATTACCTGATAAGCGGACGTTTTCCCACCCATCGGTTTACCCACAATCATCAACCCATGCCGTACCAGAATCATTTCATAAATTTGCATGCACTTTTCAACGAACCAGGGAGTCGGTTGCAAATTTTTTGATTTTATATGATCCAAAAGACATTCTATCAATTCCGACCTTTCAAAACTCGGCACCTCGATATTAGGAAACAGATCTTGATATATGCCAATAAACAATGGTACATCCTGCAAATGTAAGTCTACATATAGCTTCCAATATAAATAATACATTCAAAAATATATTGCCTGAGCTAAAAATTTCGGTAAATTAACATCAATAATTGCTCGAAGAACCAATTGTGCCTCTTCCGTTTTCGGATATTGTCTTCTCAAAGCTCCCGCTGCCAGTAAAACGGATTTGACAGCTCTCATTCCGTAATCATAATGATTCTGCGATGATAGTTGTTCCGAACACAATTTGTAAGTGTGAACGATCTTTTCTGATAAGCTAAAAACAGAAATGTATAAAATATTCATTCATCGATTAAAACTGAAATTATTTTCCAAGAGCATGGTTTAGGTATGTGGATGATATTTTTGCTGTTTTTGACACACATTCTCACACCATAGATAATTTTATTTCTAAATTAAATAATCGTTTTCCTTCCATTAAATTTACCTATGAAATCGAGAGCAACGATAGATTACCATTTCTAGATGTATTACTTATTACTACTAATTGCCTGGAATTTGATACGTATAGAAAAAAATATCACTACATGCAGATATATTCCTAATGAGTCATAGGTATATTCCTAGTCAATATCATAGTGTTGAACATAAGATGGCTAGTTTAAATTTCTTAGTTCATAGATTATTAGTTTTCCACTTACAACGAAAGATATGAAAGAAAAAGAAATTACATTAAGAATATAGCAAGTGTAATGGATATGCTTCATTAGTTGATAAAATAATTAGAAAACATAGGTATAAGATTGATTTCTGAAAATTTGACTTTTTAAGTGGAGAAAGATACGTCAAAATATTTTTCAATATAATAATTTCCGTTTGATAGAGTTATCCCGTGGTTTAAAAATAATTTGTAAGAATGTCAATTAGGTAATCCTAACGATAAAACACCTCCACTGGAAAGGTCGGGGATTTGTGAAATTTTATGTAAATATTGTAATCAGAAATATGTTGGGCAAACTAGAAGATCGATATTAACTAGATTTAAAGAACATATGGCTCAGATAAGATATGGTAGACCGGATAAATCTTACGCTGCTTAACATATTGTTAGTAAAGAACATTGTATAGATATTAATAATTTAAAATTAATTAAAGAAGTCTCAAATTACATGGTACTAGATGCATGTGAGAGCGTCAAAAATGCTCATACTAATGCATCTCAGTACTGCTCTAGTTTTCAGTAATTATTACGCTCGCGTGGCTAGTTTTTGCCACACGTACTCGGAGCCAACTAAGCTAGTATATCAGCGCTCAATTTGTAGATGTTAGTTTAGTCTTAAATCATCTGCTGATGATGCTAACATGGTTAGCGAAAAGCGCGTCCATTGCAAAAGTAAAAGTGTTTTGGTGTATTGCGGTGATTTAGTGATTCATTTTTCATTCATTGATTTACGAAATTACCTCTGTGCTTGCACAAATCCATATGAATACAGAGAAATTGCCCCAATCATCGCATAATCAGGAACCATCATAGCCACTGTTCTAAACAGGACTTTCAAATTGTCTGGAAGTTCTTGTCTTCCAGCGTATCTACAACAGAGATATTACTAAACATTTAATAACTTTTAAAACAATTAAATTTGATTGTTTTAAAATGTGGTGATTTCTAAATACCCAGGATTCATGGTGATAAAGACCGTACAAGTATGATCCAACGTTATTTCCGTACCCTCAAATACAAACTTGGTCAATTTCGCAGCTACTGCCATTTGGATACTTAAAATTTGCTGAGCAACCACTGACAACACTTCTAGTTCGATTCTGTTAAACTCGTCAAAACAAGCCCAGGCTCCTGCTTGAGCTAATCCCTAGATTGCAATGTTATTAAATAACAATTTGAAAGAAACTACCTCTTTAACCTTAAAGAACTTTCCTAGTGCTTTATAATCTAGTCCATCAGAACAATTGAATACAACACATTTCTTTGCCACTGCTTTAGCCAAGTCTTTGCAAGTTTCTGTTTTTCCTGTACCAGCTGGGCCTTCTGGTGCGCCACCGAGATTAAGTTTCAAGGCACCCATTAAAGTCCTTAAAAAGATTAATTAATTCGTACATATTTTTTAAATAACCAAAAAAAGATAACCAAAAAAGAAGAACGACATCGAAGAGGAGTTGAAATAAGAAACTAAACGAAAGAAGTAAAGGAAGCAATAGATATATCAACAAACAGTTATAGGTAGTGAGAAAGTATCGTGACAATATAGACCCAGTTAAGTTTAGAAATAAAAACAAACTTCGATAAGCTGGGCATTATCCACGGGATTATGTAATATTTGTGGTTGTAATGAGACGTAGTAAATTTAAAAGAGAACGCACTACTTTTATTGATAGTGACAGTTATTGTTTTTTATTTTAATTCACAGATAAACTGAATTTTCTGTCATTTTTTGGTTGTGGTCTGTCTAAATCTTCTCTGATTCGTATGATAGATTTATATGTCTATGCTAATAAGTTTTTTTTTGTAAACGACAGTCTTTGCTAAAGGCGGATTGATACGGTCCAAGTAAAGATATTTAAACTTGGTTAAAATATCTTTGACTTGGACCAAGTACACTTGGATGCTTTCATATAACTGAGAAATTTATTTGTTACATTTTGTTACATTACTGTGTTGTTAATTTAAATTGTAGTATAAAATATATTATTTACATATAAATAATAAAAAGTGACAAACGCAAATACCTGTAACATCTATCAGTAAGCGGAGTTGCCACCAATCTTCCTGTATTTCCCAAATATTCAAATCCATAAGCTACCTCGGTAGTTATCATAGAGACGGCCACCATATCAGTTCGCCAATAGTAACGAATTTGAGATATCCAATTAAAATCAGCTACGGAAGTTACATTAAGCTCCTTTAACTTAGTAACAATATCTCGACCTGTATTTATTAAAAAATGCATTTTAATTATTAAAATTAAATACAGGGTCGCTTTTATGTATGGAAACGGTGGATTATTAGGTAAAATATGGAGGTACCGCAAAAAATTAAATACAAAAGTTATAGGATTTTTAAATATTAGCGAGTAATAAATTTAAGTATACAGGGTCGGTCATAAAGTCGTGACACATAAAAGTTTCATTTTTTAAATTGATGTGCCACGACTTTATGACCGACCCTGTATACTTAAATTTATTACTCGCTAATAGATATTTAAAAATGCTATAACTTTTGTATTAACCTTTTTGCGGTACCTCCTATATTTTACCTAATAATCGACCGTTTCCATACATAACAGCGACCCTGTATATGCGATACCAAATAAACTTTTAGTTACGTCGTCGAGGGCGCGATTATTAAATTCATTGTAGCCAACCATAGACATATTCGGCGACGGGCTGACTGAAATTTAAATTTCCCGCTGGCGATTCAGGTGATGTACATGCTCTGCTGTAAAAACTGTCAAGTTGCCATATTTATTCATTTATTTTCTGACATTTTAATCGGTTTTGATATTTTAATTTTGTATTACGAGTTTTTGGTTTAAATCAATTGTGTTGTGATACTTTAACGTTAAAAATTTTTACTAGCAGACCTTGCAGTCGAAAATTTGCCGAAACAGCTCAACAGCCGTTGCAAAAAACTCATCGCAACCTTAAACCTTATTAGAATATTCTGAACGGGAAAGCGGTAGTAATAGCCCTTTATGTCCCTTAAGTGCTGTTAAGAAGGTGAGTTTTGTGGATGTTAACAGTAACTGTTTATACCTATATTTATGACTTCATTTTTGTTTCCCAAAATATTTTGACTAAAAGAAAGTAGTAAAAGTCACATGACTAAAAGTTTGTTTGGTATGATATAAGCTTGGTGCAATCACCGCCGGTGCTGCCACCGCCGGAAAACTCGTAAATAACGAACACATACAAATACACGAGTTTAAATGGCGAGTAAACGAAAAAAATAGTATAACTTATTCTAAAAGTGTTAGAAAGTGTAATTTGTGGAAATTCTAAAGAAAAAAAATAAAAAAGTAAATATTTTGATATCTTCCGAAGGTCTAACTTGCATTAAAATTTATTATTCCAGTTAAAAAAGAAATAGATGGGTTCAACTACGGTAGCGAGCATAGTTTTATCACCGGTTTTGCTAGTGGGACATATTTGGAGCTATTTCGTCTAGAACGATATTTGTTTAAGGTACATAATTATAATTTTAGAATTGTTCATAAAACATTTAATCACTAGTTGATTAAAAAAGTAAACCATTAATATTACAAATTGTATTTTTTCATCCTCTCATAGTATACTATGTCTATTTATTTATTATGTAACGAACATTTTGTTTACTCACTTGTTTTGTCGAACTGCTTGAATCCATTTTTGCTATTGATCAAATCGGTGCGTGTAAGAAATTATGAAGCTATAAAATGTTCTTTCGGGAGAGTTGAATATCCGGGAAAGTTGAGTTATTGAATGTTATTGTACCCAACAACGCCCTAATTACGCTCTCATTTACGCGTTAACATTTTTTGGGCAATTTTATTAACATTTAAAATTGTCACAACACAACAAGACGCCTAGTTTGAATTCTTTTTCACTTATTTTTTACTACCCGAAGCAGCGTTACATCACACAAACCTCGTACCTGATTGTTTTATAGTATCAATAACGGCACTAGCAAAAAACTAAAATACTTAAATATTATGACAAAACCCCGATTTCAATATTATTTTAATGCGATCGACATTACGGCGCATACTGATCAAAAATCGCAAATTCGTGATCGAAATTCAAGAATTCAATTTCTTCATACGAAATTCAAATTAAAGTATAGTAATTTCATATGTGTTACTCAAGTTCTGAACAAGTGACCCATTTGACATTTATTCCCAAAAAATATTTCTGCATATCCGAAGTTGACAAAAATCAATTATTTTCTTTGAATTGCACAATATAAATAAAACAATGTCATTTTCTTAGAATTTCCATACTTAAGTAGCGTAAGTACAGTACGTATGTCCGTTCTGTAGCTACGGGGTATCCGTGAGAGGGGAAACGATGTTCTCTTGATGTTTTTCGTAAAAAAATAGACGACGCGTCCCATCAATAAAAATTCAACAAATTTGCAAGTAGTCAATAAAATGAGTGGGCGGAGCGATTTGCGGTGACGCACTCGTCAAATCGACGTATAAAATATATTGCTGTTTATTTAAATGTTTTTTGTCCGCATTCCTTTCATAGACACAGATCCAGCAGATGTACTGTAATCACTTCCTAATATATATGATATGAAAGAGTTGTCTTTCTTCTTTATTTTGAATACTTATAATTATCAAAATACTGCTTAGTAATTGTGTAATTTATTAATTAATTAATAACATGCCATCTACGTAAAATGTATGAGTAAATCGTAGAATATATTTAGTGAGACACGAGATGACATGCTAAAATTTACATTACAATATTATTTGGAAAGTTATGAACATCATAATTGTTAGTGCAGCTGCCACTGTCTGTCCCTTGCGTAAGACAGTCGTGATTCATTTGTTCCTGCGCGTTAACGCAATCGCGTTGATATGCATCAATAACTATACTTGCCCCCAACAGTCCACAAAATTCTCATTCATGGGTTAATCATTGTGAATGCAATGGTTCCTATCGGAGAATTGTCCGAAGAGGCCCAAGAATCAAAAAACAAGGATATAAGAAGGTACAGAGAAAGTTTCACAAGGAAGTTTAATGCGCTTAAAGTAAACGAGGATCTTTTTCACCGTTTACTGCTAAGTTCTGATCCATATATAAGTTCATATTCTACCAAGAACTACAAGAAAACCAAAGTAGAAAATGAACTTAGAGATTTATTGGTTATTGAAAAACAAGATAACGAGGAAAAGGAGCAGCTCGTCAACGAGGAATTTTCAAACAGCGAGAGTGACTAACTAATTACAAATGCCATAAAATTATTTATAATATACCATGTTTTTCTGTAAACATTTTTTTTCATTATAATCGTTGCGTGTCGTTTTACTAATTTAAATCTGTTTGGGGATTAGTTTTACTAAATACATAAATCTATTCTATAGATATATTTCTTTTCTTTTTCTTACAATTTGGAAAGTCCATTAACTTTACATTTTTGTGTTCATTATATCACACCTTTCTACTCGCCATGAACAATTTTTTTTCGTAAAATTAGTAAATTCTACGCTAATGAAAATCTCCTTTTTATAAGTCTGTCTTAATATGGATGGTATTAATGGTATGGTATTCGGCCATGAATTTACAATAACGCTCCCTTAGAGTTTCACCCCTCGCTTGGGGTTGGCTTTTACAAAAAATTGCATTACAGATATCTGCATTATATTATATATTTCTAAACATAATGTATTTGACATTTGACCTACCTATATTGCTTCGTTAAGAAGATCTTAAATTCGATCACGAATTTGCGATTTTTGATCAGTGTGCGGCGGCGTGAACTATATTGTTGATCATTTCTGATCTCAGCCGTAGAGTGCGCTGCGGTCGGAATTTGTTGAAATCAACTGAAATGCACCAAGCCTATATAGAATAAGATAGTTATGCTTACAGTGAACATCAATCACAATTAAAGCTTCTACCGTAACTTGATTGTTCGGTTTCAAAGTTCCTTGTACCATTTTGACGCACTGCTCGATTTGTTCAGTACAAAGTTCTTCTTGTTCTGCTAAATTCCCACTGAATATTGCATTGGTTACCTCGCTAGTCCACTCGATGCAATCTACACACTGCACGATTTGACCAGGCCACGCTAAAATCCATGTAGGTCTCTCTATGGATGGATAGTTTTCTATAGCTCTTTTAGTAATATCTTTTAGTGACTGAATCATAATTGCTTCTACTAGTATCAACCATTTCTCGACCATGCCCTAGATTATAGTATTATTTATTCGTGTCAGAAGCATCATCAAGATTACAAAACCTAAACTGTTTTCTAGATTATAGTATTAATATGTTATAATAGTTGGAATGTATGGGTTTTCTAGCAAATGAATATTTGGCAAAAGCAGTTGCCTGTGGTTTTAAAACAGAAGTATTATTTTTTTTCTGTAATTTTTTAGATCAAGTCAAATATTTTCTCGCTAGAGATACTGTAATTACGTGCTTGTAAAGCACGCTCCCTAAAACGAATTAATTATTAGGTACACACCCATACAAAAAAAGTGGTCTATGCTTTTTACCAGACCATCATATCCTTTAGGATTTTTCGATGCTGAGCACAAATCCGCTATCAGAATTACGCCATCACATCTCATTTTTTTTTCTAACCCCAAAGTCTTGGTGAAAATCCGCGAAAATTCAGGAAAATGTAATAGGAAAAAAAATCATGTATAAAACTATAATATAATGTAAATGGGCCTGATAAACCCAAAACACCTATCAGAATTGAGCTAGCATGTCTTATATTTTTTCAAGCCTCAAAAAACCTACCACAAATCACGATTTTCGAAAATCGTACGGATTTTAACCAAAATCGGTACAGGGTTTTCTTTGGATCGCTTATCATGAATCTGACGTCGGATTTGCAGAATTCAAAATGGCGGATCCAATATGGCCGATGGGAATTTCAAAAAATGCACGGACTTGGACAAAAGTTTGTATATGGAAGTTTTTTGGGTCGATGAAGGCAAATTTGGAATCAAATAGGTCACTGCTCACGAGTCTGACTTCGGATTCGCAAAACTTAAAATGGCGGATCAAATATGGCCGACGCGAATTTAAAAAAAAACACGGATCCGAACAAAATCAGTATATGAGAGTTCTTTGGGTCGCTAATCGCAAATCTAAAGTCAAATGGGTCCTTGATCACGAATCTGAGGTCAGATTGGCAAAATTCAAGAGAGCGGATCCCATTTGGCCGACCTCAAGAATAGCTTACACTGTTGGCGCGGGTCCGATTCGAATCGGGTAGGCTATTCTTGAGGTCGGCCATATAGAATCCGCCATGTTGAATCAATCCGACGTCAGATTCATGGTCAGCGACCCAAAAAAAACCCTAACTTAATTAACCCCCGTAACTTTGGTTTAAAAATCCGTGCGATTTTCAAAAATCATAACTTTGTGTGTGTGGTTTGTGTACGTGGTTTTTTTGAGGTTAGAAAAAATATGAGACATGCTAGCTCAATTCTGATAGGGTGCTTTGAGTTTATCAGACTCATACTTAGGCTATAGTGTAATATATAAGAAAACATTTTTTTTAATTTTCCTACTACACTTTACTGGATTTTCACGGATTTTCAACGAGTTTTTGAGGTTAGAAAAAAAATGAGACGTGATGGCGTAATTCTGATAGCGCATCCGTGCTCAGCGTCGAAAAATACTATAGGATATGATGGTCTGGTAACAAGCATAGACCACTTTTTTGTGTAGTTGTGTTATTTACAAATATGTTATTGGTAATTTAATTGATAATTTTGTTATTATAGCAATGATATTAAAAATGTCTTGAAACTTTGTACATATATTGATATTTTTTTAACATTTAAACTAGAGTTAAGATTTGTATTGTTAGTTGAATTCCATCCAGTAGTGATTTCCGTTATGTGATACCCTTAATACTCTTTATTTTTTTTCTAAAAACTAAAATCATATAAAAAAAGGTATTCGTATACCTTAGCATCTGCTGGTATGATTTTGGTACTTAGTACGACCTTTTCCTTCTCAGCACTAACCATACCAACTACCTCTTCATCCTTAGTAAAGTCCAAGGAGTATATGCCTTCGAAGCATTTTTTCATGTGAGGTTGTACGCGCAAAGGATCTTTAGTCTCGGACAATATTTCCAGAAGTTCGTCGTTAGATAAGAAGAAGAATCTGAATTGTATAAATATAAAAATCAATAAAATTCAAAGTAATATCAGAGTAAGTAAACCGACGAGTAGCGACAGTCCCGTTTTGAATTTTCTTTGCGGCTGCACGAAATAAGTAGGTTATCTGTCATATGAAGAAGCGAAGCTGCCACTGTTGCCATCAAATATCTCTATATACTTTATTTCAAGTATATCTCAGGCAACGAATCGTTTTTTTAATTATTTATTAGCTGTAAGATATTTTATACATTCAAATTTAGAAATAAGGATAACACAAAACAAAAAAAAATATGTATAAAACTTTATAATTAATTCCACTTCAAATTATGAGCAGTGTATACCATGTTTATAGGACCACTTCATAAGTTGAGCAGTTAAATATGTAGTCTATCTGTCAAACACGTCAAAAGAGAGAGAACGAAAATTTGATCCCACCACATCAAAAGAGCCGACGGTTTCTGTCGCTACTCGGCGATCTACTTACTCTGGTAATATGTTAAGAAGACATTTTTTGTGAAAGACCTATAATAAATACGACTAGTATTTTTTGAATTAAGCTTGATTTTCAATGGAGGCATCAAAAAATGCAGTAAATTTAAAAACTGCGTAATTTTCTAACCAATCAAAAGCTTTAAATTCAACCAATAAAATTATTATCGTATTATCGTATCGTCGGACAACTGATGCATGAAAATCAAGCTTTATGCGCCTCATTTTTTTAATAGGTAGGTCAGTTATAAATTAAAACTTACCTTGGGAAAAATAGCCGTTTCTTTTCTAGGTAATCATTCAGTCCCTTTTGAATTTCGTCCAGCAATTTATTGTTCTCTTTAAGCAAGGTTAGCATATTCTTATAATCCGTTGCCGCTAATACATGAGTATCTTTCATAGTGTGCGTCTGGATAGCCCTCCATACCCTATCCACCGTTTTGAAGTGCCTTGCTTCTGTCGGCATCTGACGCATAATGTCTTCAGAGCTAAATATAGGCTCCAAATACATCCACGTGGCTTGACACTACAAGTTTTGTGATATAATTTGTTTTTAAGAAGTAAATATTGCTTCACCATCAACCACTGTTCTAAAATGTCTTGCATAGAAATAAGTTTTTCCTCCCATGCTTGCATCTCAGCTTCAAATGCTTTAACGTATGGCGATCCTCTCATAGTTTGTGCTTTTAGGATATGATCGTCCATCATGACTTGTATGTCGTCTACGGCTGAGAGGACATTTACCCCTGTCTCTCTATAAATATAAGTAAGATAGTATTTATTATTAATGTTTATCAAGAGGAGTTAAGTGAAGAAGTAAAGTATCGTACATATACAGACCGGACCACCGTAGTAGTAACATAGGCAGAACCGGACGAATTAGCGTATACCCGTCCGCCAAATAAAAAGCAGGCGAAAAAATGCGATAAAATAAAAATAGGTAGATATGTGATAACAATGTTTCTATTTGTATTTATTCGTGTTTTAATAGAGAAAACGAATACATAGATTCTCGCGACAGTTCTCGTGTAAAATTTATTTTTTAAGTAAAATAATGGATGTTTACGAAGTTCGTGAGAAAATTCAAATTGTAAAATGGTATTTCCAAAACAGGTCTTATCGGGATATACAAACAATTTTTCCACAAACTTTTGTAAACAGGGCAATTCTATCTTTACTTACTATATCAAGAGTTATTAATAATTTTGAAACACATGGGTGCGTGTCCCCACAAAAACACAAGAAGCCTGATGTGTTGATTAATGAAGAACAGGAGTTAAAGCAAGTGTTTAACCGTTTAATTAGTGGATATAGAACTATTTTGTGCCCTGACATTGGCTATGTTAGCCAATGTCAGACGGGGATTTTACGACCGCCTAGGCTTCTGTCTAGCACAAGAAGGTGGTCTTTTTCAACACTTGTTATAACTTTTTTTTATTTAGAGTAATATTTTAGTTTTTTTTGGGTTTAGAGAATTTATTTATTTTTAGTTTTGGCTTGTAAACACACTCAAATAATAAAGATTTAAGTATTTTTATTTTAAATGTTACCTTAAGTGAAGGTAAACACTTAAAATGAAAATAATAAATACTCGGCACTCCTCGCGTCGTATTCCTAGTCTGTCACGACCGACCCGTCCAAGCACAACTGCAACTGTGTACTGCCTGACTAGCCGACTAGCCGGCAGTGAGTGAATCTTGAGTACGAACGCAAATTGGGTAAACGTAAATTCGTCCGGCAACTTGCTATGTTACTAGTAGCCTGGTCTTCTCTGTATGTAAAATAGACACCTTAACTACAAATTATTTATAATGACACAAGTATATTCCAATAAATATTACTGTATTACGCTAAAATAAATACGAAAAAATACGCCCTAACTACTTAATTTTTAAAACACGGTATCAGCACTCTTGATTAGGGTCATTCTAAAGATATTAGTAGAAATATTTTTTATAAAAATTGTACCTATATGGAACACATTCGAACACAATATCAACCCATTCCTCTTTCATCTTTGCTAGATTCTTCTCCAAAGTGTATTCTTTGGTAGCGGAGGCACTGACCTCTTCTAACTGCTGGGAATATTTAGGCAAACCAGCTTCGATCATGTCGTTTAGTGTTGAGTCGGGAGTAATAACCAAAGTGGTTCCTACTATCTCGCTGATCTAAAAAAGAGAAGTTGCTGGTAATTTTTTGGTAAAATTGAAGTGACTTTTAAGTCTTACCCTATCCCAATGACGCTGTTGAAGTCCCTTATTACAAACGGTTTGTAGCACGGGAAGGAACTGTCTGAATTTCTCTACTTTTGCCCTGACCATTTCAGCGATTCGTTTGGCACCGGGATTATCGCTCAGCGTTTTAGCAAGTTTGTACAGGACTCTCCACATATTTTCGATGTATTCAGTGATCTCGTCAGCGTCCAACCCAGCAAATGGTCCAAAATACCTAATTAATAATTCCGTAAATCCCAGTTGACATGGTTAAAGCGTGCTTGGATCAAATAAACTTGCGAGCCTCTCTTTTGGCCGCTACTTGAATCGTATCAGCCGATTTTAAATCAGTTGTTAAGATCCAAACAGCGTCCAAGTGATACGCGCGCAGCGTTTAAGTGTCAACTGACAACCAGTCTTCACGATGATTTGAAAAGTAATCAAATACTATTTTTATGTTTATATAAATTAGAGACGGAAGGTATAAAGCTTGATTTTCATGCATCCGTTGTCCGACGATACGTTGATACAATATTAATTTTATTGGTAGAATTTAAAGACTCTGATTGGTTAGAAAATAACGCAGTTTTTAAATTTATTGCATTTTCATGCCTCCGTTTATCGGATATACGTTGGTGTTATTTTATATTTTCGTTTCCCTAACAATTTTGCTATTTCCTTATATTTATATTAAGGTTAGATTAAATTTGTCAAAAAGTGTCAAAACGTCCGTTGTCGTATGAACAGGTCCATTGATGGGCTAAAGTAAAATATTTACGGATGAAAAGTGGCGCGAAAGCGCTATGACCAATCAGAGCACCGTCGGACCAACGTATCACCAACGATGCATGAAAATCAAGCTTAATACGTCGTTATAACCAATTTGAAACATTTTTTTTGTGGGTGTCAAAAATAAAAATTAAGATAATTATTTTTATTAAACATCTTATATATTAGCCCTGGTCACTTCATCTGGGTGGTCTGTATTTTAATCCATATGCGACAGAGATAAATATAAATTACCGGTTGATAGACAGAGAGCCAAAATAAAAAGCTGCATACAGTGTTGCCGGTTTTTACGTTTGTAGGAAAATATGTGTAGAAAAAAAACTATTTTAAAAATGTTCATATATACTACTGAAATGAAGACAATATATTGTTGCGGACCCGTGTGGACTCGGCATAACCTAATAAGCTAAAATGTCCCGCCCCCATACGACCTTAATATCGCATTAAAGAATAGACACCGTAATGATTCATTCGAACGTTCGAGAACAATCGAGCTCCACTAGAATGGAGTAGTACATACGAGAATATTCGAAACCTTCTTTATACAAAATTGAAGAAACTAAACTAAAACTAGTTCTTGTGAACCCTAATCGACATTTGATTTCGGAAAATCGACTATACATAACATATCATATTTTACGCAAAATTGTAAAATTTCCAGGGATTTTGTACCTAAACGGTTGACTTTAGCGAAAATTTTCATAGAACCTTTTTTATAGGGAATTTATTCTCTTTAATTTTGCAATTTGCTCAAATTTTTGCTAAAAACGCATAGTTTTCGAGATATTTACAAAATACCGATTTTGGACGCTATCTTGGCAAGATGGCGGCGCCGGCGGCAAGTCTGGAAATGTGCATTTTATGGATTTTAGTTAGGGACCTCAAAATCTATAAACCTGCAAAGTTTCAAAACTTCCGGACTTTTTTCCAAGCAGGCCCCTTTTTTGATCCCCAATGACTGTACTAAGTTGTAATAATGGAAAGTTTTGCAATAATATTACCATGCATCGTAATTTTGATGATATTCCAGAACAGAATGCCACAGCTTATCATACGGATCAACCACTGTCAACATCTTAGCTAAATTCATGAAGGGAGATGGATCTATGTCAAGTAGTTGTTCCTCTTCATTAATTTGTTCTGCTTCCACTTTGTCTTCCTAAATAGACGCAAAGCTCTTTCAATTATTAAATTTTATGGTCCCTATGCTATAAGTTGTATCAATTAAACTTTTAGTTACGCCATCGAGAGCGCGATTTCTAAATTCATTGTTGCCAACTATGAACGTATTAGGAGCCTAGTTGACTAACTTGAATTTAAATTTCCCGTTGATAATTCAGGTGGCAGCTCTGCTGTAAAAAATGTCAAATTGCCACATTTATTTATTTATTGATATTGTCATTTGTTTTGTTTGGTTTTGTATTACGAGTTTTTGGTTTAAATAAATTGAGTCACTTGCAATCGAACATTGTTCTTTTTAGAACCTTTTTGAGTGCAAAGTGTACAAGATAGCTTAATAGTCGTGTAAAAGTCATCGCAACTTTATTAAGATATTTTTAAAGGGAAAGCGGTAGTAATGGACCTTTATATCCCTTAAGTGCTGTTAAGGAGGTGAGTTTTGTTGATGTAAATAATAACTGTTTATATATCTATAATTAATTTATTTTTGTTTCCTAAAATATTTTAATTAAAAGACAATATGTAAAACTGGGCAACGCTGTACCGGTCAAGCTTAATCACGTAACTAAAAGTTTATTTGATATGAACTAGTGATGTGTCGGTATTTGAGTAACGCGATTTTGGAGCGGTATTTTTTTGTAACGTCGTGTCGCGCTCCACAACGAATCAGGAACCTGTTACTGAAGAACGACGATCATAATGACGACAAAATTATAAATTATTTATAATTTGCAAATAAATTATTTATAATCGCACTTGAAGTTAGCTCGGACCGTAATAACTGCATAGCAACGTGTTTAGCTCCAGCCGTCGGGATTTCGTCAGTCGCCAACAGTAGTATCTGGAACTAGTATGTCCGTAGCGCCGCGCAATCTCGCTCCAGCCGTCGCGGTCTCGCTCCTGGAATTGTAGTTCCCTGTCGCGAACAGAAGTAACTGCTGTAACTGATTATCGACGCTCGACCTCGGCGGCCACGTACTTCGTTCCAGCAGTCGCTGGAGCGCTTCTAGGGTTTCGGTTTTGCCTGTCGCGATTTGGTCGGTTACTATTGGCGCTGGTGCTCCCGTCGCTACGTTACTTTCAAAATAGCGATTTTTGGTATGTACTAGGCATGGTATAAAATACTGTTGTTTGAAAGATGAAACGCAAAAGCAAATAAAATAAAATAAAAATATTTTATTTGCTTTTATACATTTATATAAGTTTTATTGTTTATATCTATTTTTAAGGTTAGGTTAGACCAATAAACATTTTTTTTTGACAGATGGTTTGGACTTTGTTCTTGATTTTAATGTTAAATATATTATATTGCAATACACATAAATATGAGCCGTTCATTTTATTTAAACGAAAATTGATAAAGAAAAAAAATAACAAGGAATGTCATCGTTTTTCTAAAATTGAGATAGATTGGCTATACACAATTATAAATTCGATATTTGGAAAATGAGTTGCGGATAAAAGTTACATTAATCTACAAATATAGATAAGTTAGATATATTTTAGCAAGGACCGCAACACTTTGGAAGTCGGAACCTCGGTTACAAAATCTCGGAATACGCGACAAAATATTGTCGCGGTATTTTTCTGGAACGGTCGCTATTGTAACGCGACTCACGTAGAACCGGTATTCCCATCACTAATATGAACTATAATTAACACAAAAACGGGTTAGGTATTTTTGCTTCTGCACAGGTAGCAATATTGATTTATATAAATTTTTTTAAGAATCATTACATTAATTTGCACAGTTAAGTATAAATTTTTTGAATTAACATACTTGTAATCTCGCTACAATTAATTCGACTTGCGTAACATTTTCTTCCATTTCTTCCATTGTCAATAGAGGTGGATCTTTCTTCTTGAAAGCATTCAACATCTTCTCGTGACGTTTCAGTTTAGAATCGAATGCAATCCTCTTGTTTTTCAAGGCTGTTTCAGCCTGATCTCGTTTCATATTTAGACGTTGGATAGCCAATTCAACGACTGCTTCCATATCTTTAGGCCACAAAAACACCCTGCAGTTTAAATTGATATCCTCGGCTAACAAATAAATTTAAATTTGGTTATTTAAATAGAACTTTTAATTTTATAAAAATCACATACGAGTTAGATGGGCATGATCCATCAAAAAGCTAACGTTTTCGGCAGTTTTACGAATTTCTTCCTTTAAGTTGTACATTGTGACGTCCCTACATTCAATAACGTAATTCTGCAACTCTACTAAGTCAGCTATGGTATCGGGTGAGACGCTAACTTTTTGAGACATTTCATCGAAAATATTACAGATCCTACAAAGCAATATCCCCAATGGAGCTTATAAAAATCGAATTTAAAAAAAATATAAAATTGTTTCATACTTCCTATTAAGTGCGTGATTCTCTTCAATAAAATAATTTACGATTTTACTTCTCAAACCATCAATAATTTGATACAATGTTTCGTTTAGTTGGCCACAATCTAAATTAATCATGTTCAATGGTATTGAACGCCTCAGATCAATAATCTCGTTTTTTAAAGCTTCGTACTTGTAAATTTTTCTTGCAAAGTCCTAAAAAACCTCTTGTCATACATGTGGAATTCGAATATTCGTATGCAAAATTTATCAGAAGTTATGTTGTTAAATGAAAAAAGAATAGGACATTGTTTACGCATTAGTAGTAAGTAATGCGTGGTAATCGTTACTTTACTCAAAGCGATATTACAAAATTATAAATTAATTTCTGTAAACATACCGGGTGTTGCATCGTCGGCCGGGACATCCCATTTAAATTTTAATGGGGTCAATTATTGGCTTCCCTAATTATTTTAGAGAAAATTCCATTTAGGTTTATTGAAGAGCACTAAAACCCACATTCAAAAGAATAACTTTAGATATTTTTGATTAGCTCGTTTACGAGTTATCGCCGATTTCTTTTTAAATATTTCTCCTTTCTTATGGCCCAAGAACTGGCCCACTACTTTTATTGATAGTGACAGTTATTGTTTTTTATTTTAATTCACAGATAAACTGAATTTTCTGTCATTTTTTGGTTGTGGTCTGTCTAAATCTTCTCTGGTTCGTATGATAGATTTATATGTCTATGCTAATAAGTTTTTTTTTGTAAACGACAGTCTTTGCTAAAGGCGGATTGATACGGTCCAAGTAAAGATATTTAAACTTGGTTAAAATATCTTTGACTTGGACCAAGTACACTTGGATGCTTTCATATAACTGAGAAATTTATTTGTTACATTTTTGACATAAATAAAAACTTTAAATAATAAATAATATTTACACGTGTTTGGCTTTAATTTTATTTAATAATTGTATAAATTATACTGTTAAATCTTATTTTTTACACATCACAACGATACTTGTTATTAGTATTGTTGAATTTGTGTAAAAAATAAGATTTAATAATCAAATTTAATTATTTTAGAGTAAAATTCAATAAATAAGCTCATTTAAAAAGCCCGCGCTTCGATCCATTTAAAACAAGCCCTACTCAATAGATGGCGCCACTTCTATAGGACCATTTTTCAGTATGGCAGAGTCCATTCTTTTTCTAGCTAGGTATATTCTTTGCTTTATTATTATTGAAAACTCATTCCTACATCGGAAATCTTAAAGATGTATTTATAAATACAAATTAATATGAATTAAAGTAAAATAAAGTAATCAATTACAAGGTTAATTACAGTATTATTACTGTTACGTTTTTCGTCGGTTCCGTGTGGATAGAAAGTCACAATTTATTTAAACACTATTTATTTAACACTAATTAACAAAAATAATAACGATAAAAGACTTATAGAACTATTTACAAACGATTTATAACTAAGAATTTATTTTGAATTTTAGCGCGTCAACTGTATATTTATAACTGCCCTCTCTAGGCCACTGCCGCCGGCTTTTATACCGACAGGTAAAAGAAATCTAGAATAGTCCAAAGATCGTTAGGCGCATAGAGAAGGTTTTCGAATGTTCTCGTATGTACGAGTCCATTCTAGTGGGTCTCGATTCTTCTCGAACGAATGAATCATTGCGGTGTCTATGCGATGTTAAGGTCATCCGAGGGCGAGCCATATTGTGAGGTTAGGTCGAGTCCACACCGGCTCACAACACTGCCCCCTTCTTAGGCACATGCTCGTCCCGAGATTATACGGTGAATGAAGGTATTTGCAAAGCTGGCCCCTGGTACATTGCGAAGTCTGGTAGAAATAGCAGTCTACAGTTTTCTCTCCCGATCTCAGCTTTGGGTTGTAGCAGCAAACGAGGATCTCGATTCCCGTAAATCTGAACAAGACTTCAATCATGTTCCGGATTGTACGCCAACTCAAACCATCGAGTCCACACGCCAGCTTCGGAATGGCTAATCGTGCAATGTTGTTGTTTAGCAGGGCTTCTCTCAGTTCAATCAGGGTCTTCCATAGATTGAGATAAGTCGGCTTACTCGGGGACCATTCCTTGGTGACCAGGTAGAAGATGTGCCTTGCTTGACCATGTGCATTGTCGGTTAGCCTCAAGACGCTTCCAACCTCTGGATCCTGTCGGCGTAGTTCTCCGACACGCCCAAACTTCTCATTGAACGTCGCAGCGATTCCTCTGGACATCCGCAAATCTCGAGCCACACAATGAGCGAGCGAATAATCAGGAGGCACGGAAAAGAGGTCTCGTTGATCTTCTTTGGTTACACCATAGCGAGCCTTCTCACTGCTGTTGTATCGGGCCATGAAATCGTCAAAGGACATCTCCGAATCAGGGGGATCAAAGCTGCAGGTTCTCACGGTCCCAGCACGATCTTCTATTTCGCCTTGGTAGGGGCTCAAACGGTTGAAATGGACTACCCTCGGTTTTCCTTTTGGCAATTTTCTGATACGGTATACGACGTCATTAATTCTATCCATGACTTCGTATGGCCCTTCCCACGAGGATTGTAGCTTCGGAGATAACCCACGACGTCTCTGCGGGTTATATAGCCACACCAACTTCCCTGGTTGGTATCCTCCATGCTCAGCTTGAATGTCGTAGTGTTCCTTCATTCGGTCACTAGCACTTTGAATATTTAGGCGGACTCTCTGATGAATGTCGTCCATCCTTTGACGTAGTGTGTGGACATAATCTTCTCCGGCGACTTCTTCTCCCGGTCGGCAACCAAATTTCAGATCACAGGGTAGGCGCACTTCCCGTCCCATAACGATGCTGGCTGGAGTTTGCCCTGTAGATTCTTGGACGGATGAACGGTAGGCCAACAGGAACAGGTGAAGAAATTTGTCCCAGTCTCTTTGGTGGTCAGAGACTACTTTGGCCAGATAACGGTTGATAGTTCTGTTCATGCGTTCAACCATCCCATCGGATTGTGGATGTAGAGCAGTCGTCCTGGTCTTGCGGATGTTCAGGACTTCACAGACGCCTTGGAACAGATTGGACTCAAAGTTTCTTCCCTGATCTGAATGAAGCTCCATGGGAACACCAAACCTGCAGATCCATTCTTTAACAAGGGCATCAGCAATCGTGGACGCTTCTTGATTTGGCAACGCGTAGGCCTCGACCCATTTGCTGAAGTAATCCATTACTACCACAATGTATTTGTTGCCATCGTTCGTCTCCGGGAAAGGACCAGCCACGTCGATCGCTATTCGTTCGAAGGGACTACCAACATTGTACTGGCGCATAGGGGCTTTACCACGCTTTTGTGGCCCATTAATGGCTGCGCAAATGTCACATTTCTTACACCAGGCCCTCACATCTTCTTTGCAGTTCACCCAGTAGAACCGTTCACGCAGCTTGCCAAGTGTCTTGGTAACACCAAGATGTCCACCGCTGGTTCCATTGTGAACTTCCAAGACTTCTGGGACCCTCTTCTTTGGAATGACGATCTGCCTTCTTTCTTCTTGTCCCTCCGGTCTCTCGATCACACGGCGAAGTAATCCGTTATCTATTACCAATGAATTCCACTGGGACCAGTACGACTTCACGTTCGGCGAATATCTGCAAACTTCCCCCCACGTTGGTCTCTGGTCCGCGTTTTTCCAGTTAATCACCAAGCCCAACTCTGGATCGCTGATTTGGTCATTTGCAAGATCTTCGGTTTGCCAAGTATCACCAACCACGGTCGTCCTTAAGACTTTCACTTCTTTCTCTTCTTTGCAACGATTTCCCATCTGTCCGCAATTCCAACAGCGAATCGGTCCCCCCTTCTTGCTCATATACTGATCCAGTACTTTCCGCACAATCCTTTCCACTTTGGAATCGTCGGAACACTCCTCAACAGCCCGTACAAATCCTAGAGACCTAGAGCATTCTTTCGCGGCCTCAAATTCCAGGGCACGTGCTAGGGCATCTCCCAAATGCGTTGGATGAGCTAAAAGAAGTGTTTGCCTTGTCTCGTTGTCACGTAAACCATCAATAAAAGCCTGTACTTTTAAGCGCTCCATAACATTTTCGGGCATAGCAGGGTACGCAAGGCGAACGAGGCGGGCTACGTCGGCTTCAAACTCCTGCAGAGACTCATTTGACTTTTGAATGCGATTTTTTAGCTGGGAATGATAGACATGTTCCAAATGAGCTTGGCCGTACCTCATTTCTAAATGTCGTACCAATTGCTGATAATCTCCCTGTTCCGATGGTGACAATGTCTGCAGGATATCAGTCGCATCTCCTCGCAGTGCGACAGTCAAAGCGGTAGCCTTTTTCAGCGATTGTCCATCCGTTCGCTCTCGCAGCGGCCTCAAACTGGCAAAAAATAATTGGCCCAAGCGGTTTTTCCGTCAAACTGTGGAGGCTTAATAACTGACTTTGAGATATACTTATTTTCGACTAGTTTCGGTGCCTCCGATGTTTCTTGACATTTTGGTGAATTGGCCTTTTCTATTTCTTGTTTTAAAATTTCGATTTTTTTATTTACATCGTCCTCAATTTGTGTTATTTTGTCTTGTAGCTCCGTAGAATTCTCTATAATCTTTTCTTCTAATTCCCTGGAATTTTCTGTTATCTTTTCTTCTAAATTAAGTATTTTATTATTAAAGCTGGCCTGTATGTCTTTAGAATTTTCTGCGATCTTATCTTCTAAAATATTAATTTTATCACTGATTTTCTCTTCTAAATTAACTTCCAAGTCAATTATTTTACTATTCAAATTGCCGTTTAAATTGTCTTGCAATTCCCGGGAATTTTCTGTAATTTTGTCATTCAAACTGTCTTCTAATTTTTGTAGGCACGAGTCAAGGTCACCTTCCAACTCAAAGCAAAATGTGTCAGGATCCTCACCTTCCTCAATCAAAACGTCTCTCAGTCTGGCTTGCAAAATGCTTTTCTTTCCATCTGTCTCGCATTCCCTCTCTTCCAGTATGCATTTTAATTCCGACACTTTCAGGTCTTTCAATTTTTTTTGAGCCATCGTTAGTCTTTTTATTTTTCTAGTCTGTCACACACGCCACACTTGACACCAATTGTTACGTTTTTCGTCGGTTCCGTGTGGATAGAAAGTCACAATTTATTTAAACACTATTTATTTAACACTAATTAACAAAAATAATAACGATAAAAGACTTATAGAACTATTTACAAACGATTTATAACTAAGAAGTTATTTTGAATTTTAGCGCGTCAACTGTATATTTATAACTGCCCCCTGTAGGCCACAGCCGCCGGCTTTTATACCGACAGGTAAAGAACTCTAGAATTGTCCATAGATCGTTAGGTGCGTAGAGAAGGTTTTCGAATGTTCTCGTATGTACGAGTCCATTCTAGTGGGTCTCGATTCTTCTCGAACGAATGAATCATTGCGGTGTCTATGCGATGTTAAGGTCATCCGAGGGCGGGCCATATTGTGAGGTTAGGTCGAGTCCACACCGGCTCGCAACATTACAATATTCAATAACTTATTAATCTAGGTACTATTAAATTGTTAGAACTTTAGGATTTAAGATGTTCAAATATTCCTCCATCGCCTGCTAGACCATAACCCAGGCGATCATAAATTCTCTTCTTACATTCGCTAGTTGGTAAACTGAAATTCTATTGCATTCGGCAGAAATAGCATTTTTTAACTCGTCTAGATTTGGGTATTTTTTATCCTTGTGTATCCTGTTTTTTAAATGGCCCCAGAGAAAGAAATCATTTGGCGAAATATCAGGAGATTTTGCTGGCCAATTTACTGTATGATTTAGGCCAATAACGTTTCCGTTAAAACTATGGTCTATATAAATATTCCCGAACAGCCAGGGTACTATGTGCCGGGCAGCCATTTTGGTACCAAACTTCCTGATTATCCCTAGCGGCATCATGTAAAGCAGGTAAAATATGATTTTCGAGTAGTTCCAAATAATATTCTGCATTTAAATTTCGCGTAAGAAATACTGGCCCGATAATATTGTCACATCCCCGCCCAAACATTTACTTTCTGTGGATATTGCGTCCTTGTTTCGACAAACCTGTGTTGGTTTTCTTTGTTCCAATATCGATACTTTTGAACACTGGGTTCATTATTTAAGGTAAACGTGCATTCGTCAGTGAAACATATGTATTTTAAAAATTCCCTATCCGTGTTTGCTCTTTCCATCATATCAAAACAAAACGCCTGCCGCCGTATTTCGTCCCCATCTCGTAGCTCTTGGTGCTTTTCATATTTGAAGGAATTTATGTCGTTTCAAAATTCGAAACGCTGTGGTGTGATCTATTCCTATTTCATCCTCAAGTTTCCTTGTGCTGATCTTTCCATCGTTCTCTTCCACGCACAATAAAACTACCAAGTCGGTATCATTTCTTGCATCTTCTCTTTGTTCCTGCCTTGTTTCACATCTGCAGTTATTTATTAGGGTACCTTTGGTCTCAAATCTCTGGATATTCCTTGCGACTGTAGATTTTCCAGGTATCGGTCTATTCGGATACAGAGCAGCAAACATGTCCGACACCTTTTGATAACTATTTCTTTGATAATACCATTTAATCATCAATACTTTTTCTTTGGTAGTGTAATTCATAGCTAATATTTTCGATGTAGGTATGAGTTTTTAATAATAATAATAAAGAACTAAATAGATAAATTTCTGAAATGACAACTTCATTTGACAGTTATCTTTTACCTTGACTGGTGCTCATAAGTAAATACAGGGCCATAAGAAAGGAGAAATATTTAAAAAGAAATCGGCGATAACTCGTAAACGGGCTAATCAAAAATATCTAAAGTTATTCTTTTGAATGTGGGTTTTAGTGCTCTTCAATAAACCTAAATAGAATTATTCTCTAAAATAATTAGGGAAGCCAATAATTGACCCCATTAAAATTTACATGGGATTTCTTATGTCCCGCTCGACGATGCAACACCCGGTATAGTTCTGTGTAATGATTCACCAAGAAACACAAAACTGCAAAAATCTACTTTTAAATTATGATAGACAACTGACTAGTATCATAATTTAATCTTTTATTTTTAATTAGCCACAAAATCGCTACCTAAAAGATTAAATAAAAAAATAATGTAGATCATTAAATAAAACAAAACTAAAGAACGACTCATCTGCCAATTAAAATAAATAAAACCCCATTTTTATATATTTTTTTTAGTTTTAGTTTAAAACTTTGAATAAAAATATTAAGGAAGAAACATATAAAAAAACTTAGGTAGAGTGCGATGGGCACCAAAAATAGCCGACTTAAATTCCGGTTTTCAGTACCGTTCTTATTATTATTTCTAATAATTTATTTAAAACGTGTAAACTATAATGTAGGGTAGACTAAATAATTTGTTGTTTTATTTTACGTTGTTAAAATGTTGGTAGTTATTTTCTAGCAGTAGTTAAATTCTAATAAAAATTAAGTTATGATAATTATTTTAATAATACAAATATCCGCGCTACTGGAAGCAGCTAAGTCAAATTGACGTATCTAAATTATCTTTAACAAGTAGTAAATAAAAGCGAAAATGAGAATAAATATATATTTAGTTAATTTTAAGTGAATTTCATAAATGATAGGTTTACTACATGTTTGTGTATATTACTAGTGACAAGTTATTCCGTTATTTCCCTCGATTTTTGACTGAGAACTACCACACGCCATGGTACAAAGAAAACAAGGTATGATCGATAGCGGCTCCAATTTCGTTAAGTTTGCGCATACCACCTGTGACGTCAGAAGCCATACAAAAAAATATCCATATTGTTCAATTGCCACTAATAAAAACAGACCTAAACTAGGGAAGAATTAGGACATAACCCTAAAAGTTATGTTTTGACATCGAGCTTGACATTTGAAAAATTATTTTCACATTTTGACATAATCAAATTTCACAGATGACACAATCTGTTTAACAATTTGAAATTGGCGCGCAGAGCTTGCCGACCAATAGTGCCGTTTATCACCTGTGACGTAGTGACCAACCTGCGCAATATCATACCTTGTATTCTTTGTATCATGCTACACAACCAACTATTTTACAGTTTTTTTTCGATAAATGGCAATAGTGTCACTGTTAATAAGTTCTGACACACACACACACACAATTTCCTTATAGTTTACCTCTAAAAAATTATCAGTTGCAGAATAAATAATAAATAACATAAAATAAGCTCAGTAAAGACAGACACAAAATTTCAAATCAAATTCAAATGTATCAAATGAATCGTCAAACAGAACTGTCAAACCATGCGTGAATACATGGATAGCATTATACCTTTTCCTTAATATTTTTATTCAAAGGTTTAAAATAAGGAATCAAACATTTTTGCATTTATTATTTCTTAAAAAAGACGTCAAAAATAATCGTAACAGTATTGTAACATATTCTCTTTGGAGGTTATTTTATAGATAATATCTTGACATTATAAGAGTAGATAACAGACATTTTACTAACTCACTTTTAGATATGGAAAGGGTTCGGTTGTAAAGAATTCTGCCAATTCTCTTTCTGCCTCGCCGTTAAGAATATAGTAGTATTGTTCGTACATCGTCAAATAGGTTTGTGGTCCTATAAGGTTGGACTCGAATGTGGAAGAAATCTCTTTAAACAGTTCCTTCACTAGCTCGTCTTCCTCGTCCACAGCGGATAAATATGTTTCCGATTGTTCTAGTTCTACAAGTAGAATTATGGTTGATATAAGGTTTAAGAGTATATCAACTAAGTACATTAGAAAGAAATATATTTATTTAAATATTATCATAGTAAAATACAGGTCGGTGAAAGCGCGTAAAGTTGGTTATAATAAAAAATGTCTATACCTATGTGGCGGATTCATCTCTCCAAAAAATCCTATATGGGTATTTTGCCACTGCAAGAAAATCTACAAAATAAAATAGTTATTTTTAGTAAACACTGCTGCGTTAATCCAAACGGAAACTACTTGTCAGCAGTTTACGGATATAAAAATTTGCCTAACGAACAAAAAAATGCTTAAAGTTTCGGAAATTTTATCTCTTTCCGAAATAATATTTTATTTTGTAGATTTTCTTGGCTTCTGGCTCTGTATTACACGCAGTCCACGGGTCAAAGGTTAAGTGAAAAAAAGAACCCAAACTTGGAGATGCGTTGTGTTGTAGGAATTTCAAATAAAAAAATTGCCGAAAAAATGTCAACACGAAAAGGATAGCATAATTGCGTGATTTTTAGGTGCAATAACACTCAATACAACTCTCCCGGAACAATATTTTACAATTTCTTAGATTTATTACACCAATTTGATCAAAAGCAAAAAGGGATTCAGGCAGTTCGATGAAAGAAGTGAGTAGACAAAGTGCGCATTACATAATCAAAAAATTAGATAGGCATGAGGATAAAAAATATAATTTAGTCAATAATAATAGTATACTTCTTTTTATATCAATTAGTGGCATAGATAAGATATTACGCATGTCGTGGGCGGAGCTTAACAGAAAATTACTACCCAAGTGACGTCATGCGCGCTGAGAAACCGATTTACCGATTTGCAACCGCCAAGGATCTTCTGAGATAAGATATTGCGCATGTAGTTGGCGGAGCTTAATAGAAAATTACTACCCGAGTGACGTCATGCGCGCTGAGAACAGATATGCGACCGCCAAGGATCTTATCTTTCCGAACTAGTGGCTTAAATTTTTATAGATATATTATGGTATATGGTTTTAATTTTTAACTTTTTTTGGATAACCTTGTTTTTAGGGTTTCGTACCTCACCAAACCAAAATTAGGATCACTTTGTTGTCTGTCTGTGAAGACTCTTTATCTCAGAAACGCGTGGAGGTATCGAGTTGAAAATAAAACGATATACTACGTAAAAAAAGATACAGTTATGCCGCGAAAAAAAACATTTATTTCGACACTCCCAAGGGAATCAAAAATTATAGGGCATTTTCCGTTGGCCTAGAACGATGAAATTTGGCAAGCAATACTACAAATTCAATCCTTACAATTGCATTAAGGCACTTTAGCTTACTACGCTACTCCCAAAGCGTTACATACATATATTTCATATCAATTAAATTTGTAGTTACGTAATCGAGGGCGCAATTTTTAAATTCATTGTTGCCAATCATGGACTTATTCGGCGCCGTGCTGACTAATTGGAATTTAAATTTCGCGCTGGAGATTCAGGTGGTAGCCCTGCTGTAAAAAATGTCGAGTTGCCGCATTTATTCATTTATTTCCTGACATTGTCATTCGTTTTGACACTTTAGTTCCGTATGACGATTTTTTGGTTTAAATAAATAGTGTTGTGATACTTTAAGCTTGAAAATGTTTACTAGTAGACCTTGCCGTCGGACATTGTTCTTTTTAGAACCTCTTTTAGTGCCAAGTGCACAAGATGCCTAATAACCGTAAAAAACTCATCGCAACTTTATTAGAATATTTTGAACGGGAGTTATATTTATTTTGAACGGGAGAGCGGTAGTAATGCCCTTTATGTCCCTTAAGTGCTGTTAAGAAGATGAGTTTTGTTGATGTAAATAATAACTGTTTATATATTTATTAATAGTTTATTTGTTTCATTAAAAATTTGGTTAAAAGAAAATATGTAAAAGTGAGCAACGCTGTGCCGGTCAAGCTTAATCACGTGACTAAAAGTTTATTTGATATGAACTATACCTACCTGCAAACATAATATTTTGAATCCTATCAACGTTTTTATTAACATCCAAAATCGTTCTTATACATTTTGTTAACATGTGTTGCACACCGTCAAGTGAAGGTGATAGAGTCAAATCGGTTGTTCCTATCTTTGGTAGTACTTTAATGTTTAATACAGGTAATTTTATCAACGCGAGATCTTCATATTCTGAACCATAATCATTACCACACTAAAATATTAAACTGTTTAACGGAAAGCTTCTAATACTAAATGAAAATTGTGCGTTCACTATGTGCGCATATTTGAAGTGAAACTTCTTACTAACATCTATTAAATTGAAGGATTTGAGAGACATGTTTGAAAGAGTTTAGTTTGAAATGTTGAAAAAGTAATAAATTAAAAATTAATAAATATCGGGTACCTCTATCCATGTGCCGAGTTTGGTTCCAATCGACCCATAATTAAGAATAATCCTGATGATTTCGTCCATTTAGAGGCATCGGTTCGAAACGTTGAGGGCGTCATCCTGGAGCCCGTTCCCAATTATGTCAAAATCGGCCCACATTTTTCTTCAATATCAAATCCTTATTCCCACCTGAATAACGGTCTAGGTAAAGTATCTAGCTCATTTGCCAGCTCAGAATTAGAATTTAGAGTTAGTAACTCGTATTTTCATTGTAGGACACTGTTATATTTATTTCAAACCGATAATGAACGATAATATTCGTATATATTTAATAAAATTACTGTAAATCACTATAAATAATGAATTGTTTGTAATTGAACTGTAATTTCTGTATTATTAATCCGGTAAATGATGGAGATAAACAATTGTGATTGACACAAAACAGACGACATAAAACAAATTGTTGGTTAGTAGTAGTCAGAGACTGGTCAGATATATAGATGTAGTAATATTTTGGTTTAATGGCACCAGCTGCCCGGCTATCCGGTCGAGTGATAGAATTATCGTTTTTTAATAAAAATTAAAAAAACATTATAAAATTATAAAGCTAGAATAGTATACTGTTTCATATTAACTCTAATTTTTTTGAAGTCTATAAAAAGCATTCATATAAAACTATATTATATCCTTCAAATCCTCCAATTTAATAGCTGTTAGTAAGAAGTTTCACTTCAAATATGCGCACATAGCGCACACACATTTTTTTTAAATCTTTCTTTGATACAATTTTAAATGTTTCAAGTTAAGGTTATCACCAGATAAACTTTTTATAGTATTTTCTAATATCCCGCACTTCCGATATAATCGGAAGTAGTTGCCAATTTTAAATACCAAACCAAACCAATACCCTCTAAATTTTTTGATTTTTGTATTCTACAAGAAATTCTGAACACATTTTGTATTATACAGGGTTGTTCACCACATACGACACGGACTACTGTAGCTAAACGATTAGATTTTTACAAATTGTAAGTTTGGGGTTCGTTGAAGGACTATTAGAGCTACAATTTAAAAATAATTTGACAAGATGCAGAGTGTCCCAAATAAGTAAAAAATATTATAGTTTTATTTTTTTAAATGAAACTCCCTGTATACTATTCTATTTTTAGATTCTACGGTTGAAATAAAGGTACATTTGATTAAGGTTTATCACACTTAAACCTTACCGTTTTTTAAATATTTTCAATTTTGTGGAATTGCAGTAAAAAATTTAAGGCTTTATTTCTCCAAGGGTGTTAAAGCTTTTGATACTAAATATTTACTGAAGATTATATATTGATCAGATATTGTGTTACAACAATAAAGATTATACTACCTTATACAGAGTGTCCAAAAAATTATATTAAATAATTACTAGCTTTAAACAGCAATAACTTGTTTATTTTAAATGGAACACCTTGTATATTTTACATAAATCAGATGCACAATTTAATTGCCTATCAAAGTGTATTATACCATTTTTTACCTGTATCTTCAAGTTTTCGTAGAAAATGCATTTTCTTATAATTTAGACCTCATTTATCACTATACCCATGGAATATTGACATTTTAAATTTTTTTAAACCAAACCATTATTATTTTTACCATCTGTACAAAATGTACAGATGGTAAAAATAATAATATTGCAAGCCCATTTATTTACAAAAAGAAAACTATTTAAATCGTTGTAAAAGAGTATACTAATTATTATTAATTATCAATATACTACCATTATTTCCGCCCAAAAAGTAATTAATCACATACTTAATTGTTTTAATTAATAAATTATTCGATCGATCAGAAATCGATACAGTGATAAGTTAAGAAAATGAACGTCTCTGTTGTTATAAATAAGCATTTGTCAAAAAATGAAATAAAATTTATAATGTGTTACTTTTTACCACACTGTCTAATATACATACAAAATTCAGCTTTTTAGTATTTGGAACAATTATTATTAATCAACGTAAACGGTCAATTAATGTAGTTTGAACACTGGAATCATATTAATTAGTCCTCTTTAACAAAAAATATTTAAACAATTTTTTATCTTTTAATGAAATAAGCGAACTATATCGACAATATTAGTATCTGTACTTTTTGAAAATTTACATCTTTTAAAAATAATCTAAAATGTCAATATTCCATGGGTATAGTGATAAATGAGGTCTAAATTATAAGAAAATGTATTTTCTACAAAAACTTTTAAGAGATAGGTAAAAAATGGTATAATACAATTTGATAGACAATTAAATTGTGCATCTGATTCTCGCAAAATATACAGGGTGTTCCATTTAAATTATTCAACTTATTGCCGTTTAAAGCTAGTAATTATTTAATATAAATTTTTAGACACTCGATTTGTATAAGGTAGTAGTATTGTTATTATTGCAAACCAATATCTGATCAATAAATAAACTTCAGTAAATATTTAGTATTAAAAACTTCGATACCCCTGGAGAAATGAAACCTTAAAATTTTTACTCCAATTTCATAAAATTGAAAATATTTCAAAAACGGTAAGGTTTAAGTGTGATAAACTTTAATGAAATTTACCTTTATTTCAATCGTAGAATCTAAAAATAGAATAATGTACAGGGTGTTCCATTTAAAAAAAATACAACTATAATAATTTTTACTTATTTGGAACACTCTGTATCTTGTAAAAATATTTTTAAATTGTAGTTCTAATAGTCCTTCAACAAACCCAAAACTTACAATTTGTAAACATCTAATCGTTTAGCTACAATACTCTGTGTCGTATGTGGTGAACAACCCTGTATAATGTCGTTTCACTGTCATATTAAAAAGTAGTTCCTTACACTAAAATTAATAATAAAATCCCTAAAATGTTCTAAGCTCTTGATCACTAGAGACCTTAATTGCATGCTTAGCAACGTATTGACGCAATAAAAGAACATTTCGACTAATTTACAGGATCCTCCCACTTTCTTAGGCACATACTGCCTCCAATCCTTTTTAAATGCCAGGAAGATATCAGCGCAATCTGGCAACCATTTTGCTAGGAGTATCCGCCGTGTCTCGTTACAAAGAAGATCAACTCGCTCTTCGAAAGCCGAAGGAACCAAAGGAAAAGGAGCTGACTCTAGCTCCAGTTGATCCATTGGTAAAATGTATATGCTTTGGTATCTAAAATAAAGAAAAGAATTATAAATGGGGATATTATTCGAATTTACACGAACTTCGAATATATGGTAATCGCAAAACAATTTCCGATGCACGTGATCAACTTTGAGTGACCAACCATGGCTAAGTTTTATTTTTAATTTAATAACATTTTAGTAATTAATTGTTTTAATATTTGTTTTATAGCTTATTTTACTTATAATATATTGGCAAAAACTAGTCCATTATAAAGATTATTCTAAGCGTTATTATGGGTTATTTATGTATTTATTGATGTACATCTTATAATGCGATAAGTGGTAATAACAAGTAAGACGATGCTATTAATGCACCAACTAATAATCACAGAGTTTAATAAAAACTAACGTAGAAATGATTTTGAAAGTGGTGTAATGTACTTATCAATCAAACTTACTTCTCTGACTGCAGTCAACGGTAATCAAGGACCTTTATTGTCATGTTCTCGTTCAAAATAGTTTATCAGGGAAGCTACAAGCTCTTTGCTTCGACTGTTTAAATGCTTCGGCATATTTTCAACATACAATTTCAAGAAATGCAATACAAAAACTCGAAAATTTAGTTCTTAGAAGAACTGTTTGTGCTTTAAAGTACAATTTAAAAAAAAATACTTTCATAGTATTTTTTTTAAATAGGCAAAAAACTCACAAAGATTCAACAACAACAGGACATTATACAAAATAATCACTGACATTAGGATAAATGTCAAATAATAACCGACAACCTTGCTGAAAACGGCGCAATGTGACCAACATAGCGATAATAAAATTCGGTTTAAACTAATTTTTGCAGCTTTAATCTAAATAAAATATCTGTTACAATCATTTGGTCCATAAAGTCAAACAAACAGCTGCTTGGTATCTTAAATTATACAACAAATTTAAACATTTTTGCTAAAATTTCATTTAGTCAGGTTTATAGACTTTAGTGTCAATGTCGATATGATTGATGACGTGCATCGGAAAATGTTTTGCGATTACAATATACAAACAATTTAAAAGGAGGTATAGCTCAAAATCTTCTACATACTTACTTGTTATACCAAAGTTCTCCAATTTTACGGATGACAATATTTCCTTGAAAATAGTGTCTTTCCATATATTGCTTACTGACACAGTACTGATTGTGCCATGGAACAGGTGCCCGGACTACCAGTGCAGGGTAAGGTTTAGGAAAGCTCTCGATGCGTAGCCGCTTCCACTCATTCGGGTCGTTCAATACGTACTGTACCATATTATAACGCATGTAAATGCAGTACCAGCGCTGAACTTCACATTCGTGCGCCGAAATCATATTCTTGTAACCCTTAACACTTCGATATTTGTCAGGTATTTTTCGTTTAGCTCTAACTAGTAGTTCTCGGTTATATGGTGGTATGTCTTTTGGGTCTATTCCCTGAAATTACGAAATCAAAAACACGTATGCTATGTTTCATTACCAATTTTGATATAATATATCGTATAATCAAAAGGTTTTACGATCAAGGGGAAATTCTAATGTACACACAACCAAACTTATATGGAATCACTCTTTATTCCTGACTAAATTTCTTGCAAGGAAAAAAACTGGTTTACAACTTTAAGATAAGGCCTTTTGTTGTAGCTAAATAAAAATGATAATAAAGAATAAACGACTGCTGCGATTTATTTTCTTTTGAATTTTGTGTTCAGTAGTAAAAGCACGATTGTCCGGTAATTTTCATTCGACCCAAAAAATTTAAAAAATGCCTTATGTTGGATTAACAGATGTACAGAGGAGAAGAATTATGCTCTAACTGAAGAAAGAATGCCTCAAAGAGACGTAGTAGAGATAGAAGGCGTTACCCAGGGTGTTGTATCGAAAAAATATGCAAGGTACTTGGAATTAGGAACAAACAAGAACAGGCCCAGACAAAGTCGTCAAAGAGTCACAACTGAACAACAAGACCGCCTTGTGTGCCAAATTGCTAGAAGAAATCCCAATGCTTCTCATCCAGGGCTACAAAGACAACTTCTGGCAGTTACAGGTGTGAACGTTTCAGTTGAAACCATAAGGAAAAGGCTTCATGCTCGAGGGTTTTACAGCAAGAGAGGGTTACGGATCTCACAGTAATCTCGGCAAAATAAAATTGACCGGCTAAATTGATGCCTTCAACATCAAACTGAGATTTGCCAAAATGTTCTTTTTTCGGATGAGACCAGAATTGGCCTAAGATCAGATGACCATCGAATTCGGATTCTCGGAGCTCCAGGAAGACGAGCGAGACTCCAGGCTGCCAAATCTGTATCAAGATATAAAGGAGGAACTGTAATGTTCTGGGGAGATATTATGCTGGGAGCAAAAACTCCATTATTACCACTTCAACAAACTTTAACGGGTCGGAGGTATGTTGATTTAGTGCTAGAATCAATCGTTAGTCTTTCGAGAGCTGCAATTCGGGACAATTTTAACTTCATGCACGATAGTGCACCTCCCCATACCAGCAGAGTGCTAGAGAATGCCTTGAAACGGAAGGTGTCATAGTTTTAGACTGGCCTGCATGTTCACCAGATCTAAACTCTATCGAACACTTGTGGGACCAGCTCAAAAGAAGGGTTAAAACTCGTCGAAACAAACCAGGAAATCTCGCCCAGCTTATTGATGCAGCATTAGTAGAATGGGAAAACATACCCCAAGACAATGTTGATCATTCAATAAAAAGCATGCCAGCGCGAATAGAAGTTTGCATAAGGGCTAGATATGGCAACAAGGATTATTAAAATTATCAATTTTCTTTTTGTTTTTGCTTTTTGGCCATTAAAAATTTAAATCTTAATTTCGTTTCAGAAACCAAAAAAATACCATTGTGTATATTTTGAGAACTGATTAATTATTTTAATTGCTATATGGATTATTTTTCATTAAAAGTCATTGGTAAGGACTGAGTTTTATTCATAAACACAACATTTTAATACTTCTCAAAAATTATGAAAAATAATAGATGATTCCATATAAGTTTGGTTGTGTGTATATTTATTTCTCATAAGGATTAAATATCATCAATACAAAGCACGCTGAATCATAAAACAATTTTATCGTATTATATTTACCTCACCCAGATAATACACTATTCTTTCCATATCATTTTTCTTTACAGGTAATTGTTCCTTCTCTACCATTTTGTAAAGTTGAGCCTTTTGTACATCTGGATCTTTAGGTAATATAGCTTGAAGTTTAGCCAATTTCCTTTAAGAAACTTAATATTAGAGAATCTGTCATCTGTTGAGTTGAAAAATATTTATACTAAAATTTATGTAGGGGTGGGAGTAGTTTTCACCCAAACAATCAAACACACTTTTTAGCAAAACAATTGTATCATGTTTTTTTTTATTATTTTGGTTTTTTGGGTATCAATTGACAATTTCACAAAAGCTTAAACAAATTAAGAAATTTTAAATTAATTAATGTTCGGGTTTATTTTTGATTGATGCTCTTTAATGGACAAATGAACCACTTTCTTATAAGCGTAAATTATATGCAATTAACTTATTTTGATCCAAAAATACGTAGTTGTTCAATATCCACGGAATATTGGAACCCCTTGTATATTTTGTAGATCTAATTTTGAAAAATAAATTCCAGGAAAAACCTTTTCTCAAAAACGATGCGATGTGGCATTTTTATACAAGAGACAAAAATGTAGTAAATACTAGAGGGACCATTTTACAAAAAGAAAATCTGTGATCGGTGGAATTGAAAAATATTTACACTAAAATTTATGAAGTGGAGATAGTTTTCACCCTTCCCGTATTTTTTCTTGATTTTTGTGAAAGTCAAATGTTAGAGCATTTAGCAAAACATAGACACCCAAAGTATCATTCAAATCAGAATAACTGTTCTTAAAATATCTAAAAAAAGGTGTATATTTTTAGGGCTCCGTACCCAAAGGGTAACAACGGAACCCTATTAGCCCGTAGTAACATTGGATGCGTGTCCGTCCGTTTTTTTGGTTGTACGTGCTCGGACGTGCACGCAGCAAAAAACAAACAAATGGTATCTACGCAGGTGGTTACATTGCATCGGAGTTTGCGCATCCGTGCACGTAAGTCAATTACTGTTGGTCGGACGAAAACAAACTGGTTTGTTTTTTTAATAGGTGCGGGTGCGAGCGTTCGAATTTTTCTTCCCTGAGCGCAATACATTCCCGAAAAATTTGAATATTTTTGAATACCAAGTTTAATTTTATTTAGAATATATTTATGTTGATGAAGATACTGTAAAATATTCAAAAATTTGACCGGTTGCTGTCTTAATTCACCAAATGTTTTACATATTCATTTTTTTCTTATCTTCTTGCATAATAATCATTTACCCAACATTTTCTTCTTTTCACAAGTAGTTATTTTAACATTATATCCTCAGAGAGCATCAAAGTAGTGGCGTCCGTTCTGGTATACTATCCACACAGGACACCATGAACGTGCGAGTAAATTCTGTCAGAACTCGCACGTATAAAAAACGCACGGACCCGCGTCCAGTGTAACCGCGGGCTTGACTTCGCTGTCCGTCCGTCCGTCTGTCACAAAGGTCTATCTTATGAACCGTTATAGCTAGGCAGTTGAAATTTTCACAGATAATGTATCTATGTTGCCGCTATAAGAACAAATACGAATAACAGAGTTAAATAAATGTTTATAAATAAAAGTACTTTCACTAAACATTATCTTTTAAGTAAGAATTTTACATAGAATCTTTGTCCTTGAAAGTCCTCGGTGGCCACGTGGTTAAAGCGTTAGGACTTTACACTGCTATGACGTTGGAGCCGTAGTAAGGCAGGTTCGAATCCTAGACAAGGCGACTTTTTTTAATAGTTTTTTTTTAATTTTTACATTTTTACATATTTATTTTTACTTTTTACATATTTATTATTGATTAATACAATTTTTAGTAATCTGTTTCTTCATTTTTTTTAAATTACTTATACGTGCATTCAAAATTTCAGCTAAATCGGAAAAAAAGTTTATAATAATATAGTGTCTAATGTTGTATAGATAATGAATGGTACGGAACCCTACGTGCGCGAGTCCGACTCGCACTTGACCAATTTTATTTAAAGTTTGATGCCCTCTAGCGAACAAACGAAGCACTCTTTGTATAGAAGTAAATTGTGCCCAATGACCGTATTTTGATTCCAAAAATACATAGTAGTTCTATGTCAACGGAATATTGGGACACCCTGTATATTCATAATACAAATTTGAAAGATCTCACGTGAGCGTAAGGGTGGGGGGGATTCGATACAAATCTTACATCTCTACATAACATAAAAAAATCGTAATTTATGGATGCTCCATAGCTTATTTTAAGTTATAGGTTAGCTTTAGTTTTAAGTTTTATGATCAAGATTCTTTGCATGATGACACAAAAACAATCTTTATAAAATATATATCTGATTTTTTTGTGTTGAACAATTGTCAAAGACAAAGCGGCTTGACCATAAAACTCTTTGATTGCATGCTAGGTATACCCTGTTTCGTCAGGAAATCCTTCCCATTTTAGTAAATTCAGTTTCCTTCGCATATTCTTTTCTTTCTCTTTTTTCTCTAGCTCGGCCAATTTATCTTTATACCATTGTCCGGAAAGAAGATACTCCACGTCGATTATTCCCGGAACTTTAATACCTTTTTTTCTTTTGACCGCCAAATCTCTCTTCTCCTGTTCCTCCTTTAATTCCTTTCGCGATTTTTTTGGTGGATACTGGAGTCTTCCTAAAGCAGTTGAAATATTTATGCAAAGCTTTAAAAAGCAGCTGTAAAATATTTCAAAATATTACAACTGCTCTTCGTCACTGACTATAGGCTTGGTGCATTCTCCGCCGGTACTGCCATCATACATGAAAAAATTGTTATATAATTATTCTAAAAGTGTTGGGAATTATAATTTGTGAAATTCTAAAAATAAAAAAAAAATAAACATTATAATATCTTTAGAAGATCTAACTTATTTTAAGCTAATAAAACTTTTCAGATAAGTTCAACTACAGTAGCAAGCTGGTAGCGGGCATAGTTTTACGCAGCGGTTTTGCTAGTAGGGACATACTGGGGATATTTCGGCTATAACAAATTTTTAAAGGTGCATAATTACAATCAACGTAAAATAAAACAACAAATTATTGAGTCTACCCCACGTCTACCCTACATCATAGTTTTACATTTTTTAAATAAAATTAGAACGACACTGATAAACCGGAATTTAAGTCGGCCATATTTGAGGCCCATCGCGGTGTACCTAAGATTTTTGATATGCTCCTTCCTTAGTCTTCTTATTCAAAGCTTGAATCCATTTTTGCTTTTGATCAAATCGATATGAGAAGCTGTGAAGCTATAAAATTTTGTTTCGGGATAATTGAATATCCGGGAAAGTTGAGTTATTGAATGTTATTGCTCCAAACAGCCACGTAATTACGCCCTCTTATACGCGTTAACAATTTTTCGGCAATTTTATTAACATTTGAAATTGTCACAATACAAGGCGACGCGACGCGGCGCCCAGTTCGAGTTCTTTGTTACTTAATTTTTACTACCTGAAACAGCGTTACGTCCCTAGGTTACATCATACAAACCTCGTACTTGAGTATTTTATTAGTTTAATAACTGCACTAGTAAAAACTCAAATACCTAAATATTATAACAAAGCCACGATTATAACATTATTTCATTATTTCAATGCGATCGACATAAAGGTTAACGGGACTGCGTGAAATTCTTAGTCGGGCACTTCTAATTTCTCTAATTTCTGCCGTATAGAGCGCTGCTGTCGGAATTTTTAACCAATTTGCACCAAGCCTATATACTGAGTGAGAAGGAAATCGTTGTTCAGACTGTCATTTCATTATATTTTGATCTAATGAATTTAAAAAACTTGAGTACAAAATATAGTTTATCAAAACCCACATTTCTTTTTAAAAACAATTTTAATTTTTTTCTTGTTAAACAGGAAGTGAACCTAAGCGAAGGATTTGAATAGACATTTATTTATACAGAGTGTTTCAAAAAACATGTGCCATCTCTCGAGTTTAGATTCGTCAAGTAAAAATAAGGTTTATCTTTATATCACACATAGGTCTGATACTGCTTTGTTTCGTAGGTAGATACATGGGGTTAAAGACATCATTTTGTTAGCGATTCAAACGAAACTTTGAGGGTAAAAGTTACATAAGTATTACATATTTTAGCAGTAAAAAGATATTGACAGATTTACCAGGGACGTGCGTATGGTAATAGTATTCTCAAAAACACATCTGCGCCACTGACTTTCTTTTATCTTTTTAGAAAAATTGCTTAGGTCGTTTAATGCCGATTTAAAATTGTATCTTGATATTTTGCCGATTTCGATCTCATTGATGAGATAAGTCAAATTAATAAATTTGCGTTTATCTCATTAAGCATACCGATATCGAAAAAATATTAAGAGACAACTTTTACTCGGCATTAAACGGCCTACACAATAATATTATTATTATTATTTGCTAACAAGGGAGAGAAAAGTTAGTAGCGCTCATGTGTTTTTTCAAAATATCTTCCAGTGATAACCCATCTGCACATCCCTGGTGAATATGTCGACACTTTATTAACATTAAAATATGTCGCACTTATAGTAACTTTTACCCTAAAACATTCATTAGAATAGCATAAAACTTGAAATAGTGGAGTGCCCAGAGACTTTTACCTCGGAATTCAATTACTGTGAATGTATTAATGTAAAACCTACATCGTGTTTTATAGATAAAATACTAAACTTTTTACCCATTTTTTTTCGTTGCTTTTAATTTTTTAGTTTAGTAATTTTAGTAAATTCTTAATTATTTCCTTCTTAATATTTTGATTTTTTTAATTCTTTTTCTAAGTAAATTTATTGAAATAAATAAATCTAATGCATAACTTATACCTATTCTGCTTATATCCTATTCATTGAAATTTTGATTGAAATCGAATTATACAGGGTGGCGCGTCTTATACGTCGCGGTTTTTGCAAGGAGAACAAAAGTTTGTATTGAAGTAAAATTTTGTGAGCTTATGTAAGTCAATATAAAACATTTTCTAAAATTATGTAGAGTTCTACAGGGTGTCCCCAAAAAAAGTTACACATCAAAGTTATGTTTTTGTAATGGAACACCCTATATATTAATTGATTTTTGGATTCTAGTAAAAAAATAAAGGTTTGTTTCATTAGGAAAGTATATGACTAAAATGTATAGTTTTTGAAATACATTCACCGGCACGAAAAATAAGCACCTTAAAACTTTGATTTATTTTAAAGGTTAATATATTTAAGCAGGCCTAACATCAATAAAATTTGCGACCCGAAAAGAGAAATTTTTTCGTAATTTTTACATTAAGACCATGCCTTTGCTTTTGGGCCTAGTCAACACATCTAGTAAGTTCTGGTCCCGAAGCAGGCCTTCTTGACATAAAATTTGCTTCATTTTATCTTCTTCTTGTAGTCCGTTAGTTAATACGGATGTACGGTCCTTAAGTGCAAATCATTATCAATTTGAAAAGCTGGCCAACGGCGGTTTCTTAGCGATAAACTTACAATAAGTGGATCGTCTCGATGAGAAGTTCTCATATGAAGGTTCCTGGACATCTAGATTGACGTCCTCATGGACGTGGTCATAATTCAAAGACCATTTATTATACTCTATGGTATTAAGATATTTTTGGAACCGGAATTTTATAGCAAATTCACTGAACTCGAATAAATAAATGATATATATTTGACTCACCCTGTATATCTATAAAAATATATTTGAAATGTGAATTGCCATTAAACAAATATTTTGTAAAAAGTTTGGAGTGAAAATCTCAAATAGGAATCCTGATACAGAGCTTTTCCGGAATACGGAGCCATCTTGTATGTATGCATTTGTATATGTGTGTTTATTTAAATACTAAAGTGACAGCAACGAATTAATAAATTGGTAAACTTTGTAATATATCTTATTAACAATACAATGCAAAAAGTTTTATAAAAATTCGTTCACAGTAAATGAATTCCGAGGTTTGTATCCCATAATTAAAGTACTCCACTAAAATTGGAAGAAAATTATAAAAAAAATGAAGACTTTAACCCCCTGTAGCTAAGTAACAAAGCATAATCGGACCTACGTTGATATGAAAAATAAATCTTATTTTGACGTGAGAATTAGAGAGATGGCGCATGAATTTTGAAAAAGTAAAATTTAAACTGATATACCATCTGCACCCAAAGGACTTCCTCTGACTAATTTCTTCTTCGTTGGCAAATCTTGCAATCGCAGATATTGTACTTGAGGACTGTAGGCAGATCCTTAAATGTAAATAAGAATATATGTAATATGTTAAAAAAGGTGCTTATTAATTTTTAACATTGGATTAAATTTAAAATATATAGTAACGTTGTGGTTCAAACAAAAAATATCTAAAGTCTGTGTGTGCTCCTTCAGTTCATTTTTGTTCAGTCTATTATTATTATTATTATCTTATACAATATGATCGAAAAAAAATGGCGTCAGCGATGACTATGAAATGAAGATCGCTATCATTTTATATGTAAAATTATTTGGGGAATATCATCGATGTTCATTTCCAAGCCAACTGGACGCCGTTTCTTTGAGATCATACAGTATTTATATCTAGAGTAAAGAAGGAGAAATTTCATTTTTTTCATTTTTAAATGTCGAACTTAAACAGTTATGTGAATTTATTAAATTATATAAAAATTTGTCATGTTTATTGAAAATAAAAAGTATGGAGTACAGTGACTATTTATTGCACCAGCGAGCAGAGTTCAAGACACAGCTGTATCTCGGAAAGCTTATTTTACTATCATAGATAAATGAAACAAGTTTTACTATACAACAAATATGCTAAAACTACTATACTCTGTTTTTTTTTTCTCAGATAAGATTTCGACAGACGATGACAGAAAAAAGCAGATGACGTCCATACCAATCCATTTATTTAACTAAAATAGTTTCTAATAATTTTTAAGTTAACTATGGATGGATTTATATATAAATCTGTCATGCGTCATCTGTTGTTGTTTTTAACCAGTTTTATTGGTTTATTTCAAAAATGACATCATATTTCAATTTTATTGGTTTGACGGAACGATGAACGACAAACGGACGTCGATGCGTATGAACTCGACTTAAGATTTTTGAGAGTTGTCAAACTCTTGCAAAATTATAGGATATAATTTTGTGTCAAATTATATCAAATAGAAATGACAAATATTTTGCATATTGGACTGTGTTATTACGTGTGTTTCGTGTTTTTTTAAAATTAGGTGGAGGAAAACTCGAGAGAAAATTAAGTGTTGACCCAGACCATAGTTTAATATTAATATTAGTTAATATTCGGTGCCCAGAGACCGTTTGGCAGACAGTTTGCCAGAGGTTATGACCAGAGATTATTTGTTTTAGCCACAAATAGAGTTTGTATACCATCTCGTATATGGTACCTAAAACTGGAGTATCTGAAAAATCGCAGCACACGCTAGGTAAATAATACATTTTAATACTGCAGAGAGATAATGTCCAAAGATACTGTACAAAAATTAAAATTAAAGTTAATTAACCAACTTTTAAGGCATACAAATCAGTTTATTGTTAATAAAATATTTTGTTTTACTTCTTTGCAATATTATTTTTTTTATTTTTGCATACGTTATATTGATAGTAATAACAGTAATTGACAGTAACAATAAATGCAGGAAGTAGATTTATTTTCTCTATAGCTTGAAAGCAAGAAATCTTTTTATATCTTTTTTTTGGTATGTGGTGTTTTTTTAAAATACACCCTTGCTTGGTTTGTATTAACACATAATGTAATTGTTTTTAATAAAATAACTCGATTAGATTTGTTCAATTTTATACAGTTTTTTTTCTCAATATTTTGAAGTAATCACTTGTCACTCAAATTTTAAATATATTAATTTTCTAAAAAAGGTAGAAAAAAGACTCAAAGTCTCGGTCTCAACGTTTATATATACGTTATATTTATATACGTTACAACACTCTCAGTATTGTTTTAATATGTGAAATGTGAACGTGTGTGTAGTTTAATTTTAATTGTATTTTTCTGATGATGCTCGTATGAGCGAAACACGTGTCACTCTTTAATATTATATAAACGTTGAGACCGAGACTTTGAGTCTTCTTTCTACCTTTTTTAATTTAAACCAGGTCTCTTTGAGAAGAATGGACGCCTTCTTTAAAAATTTTATTAATTTTCTGCTATGCGTTCCAATTGTACCAACTTATTTCTTTGTAAAATAAAATAAACTACTTTGAAAATAAAATGACAGACACATCTATCACTGTCAAGGATCTTGTCGTTGGACAGACTATAGTGGCCCTAGTGGATGCGCCACACAGTTCAATGTAACTGTGTTTGTAAACCTTACATACGCAGTTTTGTGTGCGCGACAAGCAGGTTACGCAAACTGGTCTGCTAGTGAGCTTAGGCTAATAATAAAGGACTGAGCGTCTGTGGGGGCCTTTACACATCAAATCGACGTAATATCGTATAATCGAAAAAAAACGGTATCCGGTTGGCTGGGAAATAACGATCCATGGCATTTCCCATATAAATTTACATATAAAATGACAGCGATCTTAATTCCATAGCCATCGCTGACACCGTTTTTTTTCAATAGATTTTCAAGATAATTTGCCCCCCGCGCCCCGTGTTGATATCTACTTAATATTTCTCTCTTTATAATATCTACTTACCTATAGTCTCCGAAGGTCTAAAATACATTTGGGTATCTTTTTCTGGTACTCCTGTAGTCGATGATTTTTTAGCAAACAGTGGCGGGTACTCTTGGCTCTCTTTAATCTCTTGGATATTCACCAAACTTTGCACACGTTCATCGACTACCGGAAGCCACGGCTGCCTCGGAACTATCCTCTGGCCATATTTAGAATTTTTGGGTTTGTCCATATTTGCAGTTTTATTTTCTCTTCATACTGACAGATAGAAACATATTTTTAACCATTTATTCAGGTATTGTTTTGTCAATTTCAAGTTGACTCATTCACAGCATAATCAGAGGCATAATGTCAGCGTTGTCATGGAGATTCAGGTGTATCGATATCAATTAAAGTATAGAATGTGCAGCCATCGTTCAACGTCACGTCATATATTGTCGAACTCTCTCAATCCCTTATTACCTTTTTATTACTAACCAAATCAAAAATATTTTTTGGCGTCATTACGGCATTTCGTAAATTATACCCTGTTTTTTTTTCTCAGGGCAGATTTCGACGATGACAGAAAATAAGCAGATGATGTCACAATATAACAATATATTTATTTCATTCTTTGATTTCACTAAAAAAAGTTTCTAATATTTTTTAAGTTAACTGTGGATGGGTTTATATATAAATCCGTGAGGCGCCGTCTCTTGTAGTTTTTAACCAGTTTTGTTGGTTTATTTCAAAAATGACAGATCATATTTCAATATTATTGGATTGACGCAACGCTGAACGATATACGTACGTATATGCGTATGAACCCGACTTAAGATTTTTGAGGCTTGTCAAATTCTTGACAAATTAATGGTTATAATTTTGTGTCAAATTATCTGAAATACGGATTTGCGAATTGCTTTTGCATTTTGGTTCGTGTGTTTTGTGTTTTTTGAAGTTAAGTGAAAAAAAAAATCAAGAAAAACTTACTGTACACCCAGAGCACAGTTTATAGTTAATATTCGGTGCCCAGACAGAGAATTTTATACACAAATAAAGTTAGCATCAGTAAAGTTTGTATACCATCTTGTATATGGTACTAAAAACTGAAGTAGCTGTAAAATAACATTACACAATAGGTAAATAATAGATTTTAGTACTGCAGAAACAATGTCAAAAGGTACTGGTTTAAAAAAAATAAGATTAAAGTTAATTGATCAGCTTTTAAGTTATAAAATTCAGTAAGTGTTATTATTAATAAAATATTTTGTTTTATTTATGTTTTGTTTTATTTATTACTGTGCAATATTAATGTTTTATTGATAAATATAATAATAAAGCTGTTTCTTGAATTCTCTCCAAAAAATCCTATATGGGTATTTCGCCATTGCAAGATTTTTTTTCTCTTGCATTGGCGACTTTTTTTTACTTAGAGTAAGCTTACAGTGGACACATCTATCATTGTCACGGATTTTGTCGTTGGACCTTATATACTGCATATTCTTTTTAGTAACTGTCGTTATCGTTTGATTTCAGGTTATAATTTTATTGACGGATATAGATCAATGTCAAAATTAAAATTTGATTGTTGCTGTAAAACAAAATTATAAATTTTTTTATTCCAAAAATGCCTCAAAGATTTAACCAAAATGAACAAGAGCTCATTGCTAAGCTTAAAAATTATTTTTTCTCGAGAAAGAGACGCTGGTAGAACACTCTTGCCCGTGGACGCCGTATATGAATGAAGTAAGTACAACGCAAAGGTGTAATATTCTTACATAAAATACAAATTGATAGCGTTTTAAAATAATAGAGCGAGTTGCTGATGCAGAAATAGAAATTTCAACAGTCCAAAGAATTGGAATTAAAGGGATCGTAACTGATGAAGAATTCAAGAAAAAATGAATAAATGCCGAAAAAACGGACCTCGCTCAATCAATAATATAGGAACGTACCCAACGTACCATAGGAACATGATAGGAACTAGGAACGTACTTAAAATTTTCTAAACAATATGAACTGATCTCAGACCAAGGTTACTATATTAAACAGGTTTCCTCGTAACTTTTGGACCAATAAGAGCGGTAACTACGTCACAGATATGCTACAGAACGTATAAAATCATAGATACAGGAATAAAAAATAAAATGCAACGAACAAAGAGAGGTGAATAGGCAATATAATAAAGACAAACATCAAACAACTAAAAACTATAGACGTCATACACAATGAATATCGGGTATATCGATTGGAAAATGTACTGTCGGACTTACGGCAGTTTTTATACCTTTATCTATGATCGGCCGCATACCTGTGACGTAGTTGATGAATTTTTTTTAATGGCGGATCGAGTTACGAGTCAACCTTATCTTTTAATAACCTTGATCTCCGACACCCTAAAACTCATATTTTGACTAATAATGATGACGTAACGGTGAACGACGGCTGAACAGTCTTTAACTCTAGATGAAGATGTAAAGTAATAGCAAAATAATTTCCGATGCACGTGATCAACTTTGAGTGACAAGCGATAGCGACAGCGCTGCCAGATTGTGATGGATTTATGAGATGAATCTTAATGTAAAATTGAGAAACAATATATTATATCATTTTTTAAAGATTTTTTTTGTTTTTAATTTAATAAGTAATATTTTTGTAACTTCTTTATTTATTAACAGTAGTCACTAACACGCACAGTAGAAATATTTAAATTTAAGGCAGCAGCTACTCGCTACAAATCGAAATAAGTAGAAATAACTTTGAAAATGGTATGATGTGCTTACTAATCAAACTTACCTCTCTGACTGCAGTCAAGGGTAATAAAGGACCTTTATTGTCACGTTATCGTTCAAAATAGTTTAATAGGAAAGCCACAAGCTCCTTGCTTCGACTGTTTAAATGCTTTGGCATATTTTCAACACACAATTTCAAGAAATGCAATACAAAAACTTGAAAATTTAGGTCTTAAAAGAATTGTTTGTTGTAAGTACAAGTTTTAAAAATAGACTATGAAAATCGGCAAAAAAACGAGAATCACTCCAAAAGATTCAACAACACAATTTTATTGTGGATTTTATACAAAATAATGGCTGACTGACTGACATTATGATAATTGTGAAATAATAAACGACAACGTTGGTGATCGCTGCGCAATGTGACCAACATGGCGATAATAAAAATCGCTTTAAACCAGGGTTGGCATGATTTAAATCAAATGATTTAAATCATGATTTAAATTGCTATTTAAATCAAGTGATTTTTTTAATTTTAATCGTGTGATTTAAATAAAAAAAAATATATTTTATTGAAACGTTATCGTTATAATAAATAAAAAAAATAACTGTAAAAGTTCTAAAAATGTGTCCTAGAAAACTATAAAAAATATTTCTATATCAGATATAACAGATAATAAATCGAAAAATAATTGTAATTGTTTTAAAACTATATAAAAATATCTATTTATCAATTTAAATGTTGGACCGATTTTTGAAGTAATTTCGTGAGAATCCATTAGACCGCTAAACGCAGGGATTTATTTTAAAATTTATGTATAAGTGACAAAAATTCGCTGCTCGAATACATATCATTCGCAAAGTCTAGAGCAGAACTAATTTCTTCTAATATAGAGACTATATCTTCATTCTCGAGAATCTAGAATCGTTGTCAGAGAATATGTTGGTTTATTTTTTTTTGAAACGGTTGTATGTTTCCAAATTATTAACTTAAGACTCTATTTCCGAACAATAGTATATTGTTTTATTAGAAGTAAAAAATTATACTTTTTTTGACGATGCTGTACATTTGAAGGACCATCGTAAAGCTATTCCGACTAGAGTGAGGTACAAAAAGTACATTTTTACTCTGAATAGAACATTTTTTTTAATCAATTTCAAACATTGCAAATAATATCAGCAGTAATCGAGCAACAATTATTTGTACTATCGTTGAATTTGACACTTAATATCAGTTTAATAATATATTTTTGTATTTTTGTGCTTAAGCGTAACAGTCCTTTACTTTTATGCCTAAGCGTTAAAATGACAAAAATTAATACTTTTGAGACGTTTGAAAAAAAATCCTTTTGATCTGAAGCGAGCGACTTTTTTGCGGAATATATTGGTGACCGATGTGGAAAAATGACACGCGCCGTAGAATTGTTGTTATCGGTATCGGACAGAGTTATAAAGATTTAGCCGTTTAGTTGGAAATCCGATTTAAATATTGTTTTGAAATAAAATCAAAAAAATCTGATTTAAATAAAAAATATCTGTTTTAAATAAAAAAATCTGTTTTTTTGTTTTTTTTTTAATCATGATTTTTTCCAACCCTGCTTTAAACTAATTTTTGCAGCTTTAATCTAAATAAAATATCTGTTTCAATCATTTGCTCTATAAAGTAAAATGAAGAGCTGCTGGTATCTTAAATTATACAATTTTCGCCAAAATTTGCTTGCAAAACCAGGTGAACCAGACCGGTAAACTACGGTAAAGAGCGGTTCCTGAAAAATATCGGTTAGATACGGAACAGTTTGGTAAAATACTGGATATGTCAAATGTTGACGTTTTTTAAATTTCAATCATATTTCAATACTTTTATTATAGAACTTATTTTTACGCATTTTTAATGTATGATGTTTTTGATTAACTTTATTTCTGCCACATAAATGACATGGATTGACAAACAAAACCAGAAAAAAAGCAGCCTTCCCCTGCTGGTTAGTTTGGTGACAATTATGATAGATATTTTCAGGAACCATTTTCTGTTGCAATAAAACTTTCAGGAAACCGATAGAAACGGAATATAAAACCATAACCAAGGTAAGCAACGGAATACAGCCGTCAGGTTTATAAGCTTTAGTGTCAATTTCGATATGATTGATGACGTGCATCGGAAAATACGCAATACGCTTTATAATGATATGTGAGAGAAGGTGAAGGTGAAACAAGAAGTAACCGAAAACAATTGAACGCGCCAATCAATACTGATTTATGTCATATACTAACGTACCAAATCTCGTTTTTTATTTGAAGAAATTGGGGTGAGCCACTTTTGGGAATCACTCGGTATATGCGACCATGAAACATTTCCTATTTATTTTCTATTAAAAAAACATTCCATTTAAGCGATGACATGAACCAATCATCGGCATCGTATGAATATCTCATGCGCTTCCGTAAAAACACAAGCTTTCAACACACAACGAGCGTTAACCTATAAAAAAATGTTGTTTATTCGTAATTTTTTCATATATTCGAAATTGATTTTCAACCACCCCGCGTCGCGTAATAAGCAGGAGGCGTGGAAAGGTTTACAGCTATAGGTTGGACGATTTATTGCCGGTTGTAAGGGATCTAATTTTTGAGAAATCTCTAAACAATATGGGTCGAACACATGTTTGACACTTGTTAGGAATCCTGTTTTGTGGGAGCCGAAAACCATCTGATTCTAGACATACTGACGGATGGCTTTCATATTTTATTTTTCGGTGAGGTGCAAGTGACCTTTTTTGAAGGCGACAAGAAGTATAATTTTTTACATATGCATTCTTAAATACATAAATTAATAGGGAATATCTAACTAGATTTCAGTTATTAGAGATTAGCAAATAAGCAAATAGGCAGATTAGCAAATAATCTGCGCTATTTATTATAGGGTAGATTAAGGAAGGAGTATAATACTATTCATGTATTCATTCATTACAGACGGAATTGACATCATGACCTCCCATTAATGACAGTTCTGTTTAAAGTTTCAAATAACACATTTGACATTTGAACTTGATTTGAAATTTTGTAGATTTTTTGTTCGTTTCTGACATTATTTCATGTTATACCGAGTGCGTCTCAAAAGTGGCTCACCCCTATAACTTTTAAATTTTTTTAGATAAAAAAACGAGATTTGGTATGTTAGTATATGACATAAATTAGGATTGATTGACGTATTAAATTGTTTTCGGTCACTTCCTGTTTCACCGAAAATGACTACAACTTTTGATTTTTAAATGGCACCCTAGGTATTTTTTTTTTTACTTTATTCGATATAAAATGACACTCTGAATTGAAAAACCAAATTATATTTTAAATTTCAATCTAGAGAGTCATGGCAGTGTTAAAAACACTAATTTTTAATAAAGGAGCATTGAAAAAATAGATTTGATCGTCTAATGTGTTTAGTGTCTTGTCCTGGCCGGTTAAAAGATACCCAAATCGTATTTTTAATCATATCTCAATTTTTTCATATAGGACAAGGGTGGCTCATTAGCATATTTGGAAAAGCATTTTTTACGAATAATTTGATACCACACACTTGGTATTTCGAGTTAAATTGTCGTTATGAACCGCAGGTTACAATTTCAAATAAACCATATGCGAAAATGTCAAAAGTTGACATATGATCTGTCATTCTATTTAGAGTGTCATTTTCTATCGAATAAAGTACAAAAATATCGAGGGTACCATTTAAAAATCAAAAGTTAGTGACCGAAAACAATTGAATATGTCAATCAATCCTAATTTATGCATATACTAACATACCAAATATCGTTGTTTTATTTAAGAAAATAAAAAAATTATAGGGGTGAGCCACTTTTGAGATACACCCGGTATATTATTTATTCTACAATTGGTTTTGTTTAGAAGTAGTAAATCTAGAAGAATATTTTGTGTTAGAACTTAAATTAACAATTAAATTATTGCGAATTTCAGAGAAAGACTGCGAATTACAAGGAAATAATTTTCACTGGTAGGTACAATATGATCGAAAAAAAGGCGTAAGTTATAGCTATGAAATGATGATCGCTGTTATTTTATATTTCTATAAAATTATATGGGGAATATCACTGATGTTCATTTCCAAGTCAACTGGAGTGTAGTTTCGCAACTGCCTGAGTAGTTTTTGATTTTTGAATTCTCCTTGAAATTCCAAACACATCTTGTAACTGTAATCTTGTTAATAATGTCATACCTAAATTTAACTTTTTTATGAATTCATTAAATGGCTTCAAATCGAAAAAAAAACGGCGTCGGAGATGGCTTAGAAATGAAGATCGCTGTAATTTTGTAAGTAACATTATATGGAAAATGCCATCGATCCTAAGTAATTTCCAAGCCAACTGGGCGCTGTTTTTTTTAGATCCTACGGTACTATAAGCGTTCTGTTGGCAAAAAAAGGAGAAAGAAACTGCAAAGTATCAGTAAATATATTAAGTTGTTTATTTTTATGTCGTTTCCGAGTAAAGCTTGATTTTCATGCATCCGTTGTCCGACGATACGATGATACAATATTAATTTTATTGGTTGAATTTAAAGGTTTCGATTGGTTAACCGTTTCTAACCAATCGAAGTCTTTAAATTCAACCAATAAAATTAATATCGTATCATCGTATCGTCGGATAACGGATGCATGAAAATCAAGCTTTACACCACTCAATTAACAAGAGCCATTTAATTTTTTTCGCGGTCTTATTATGTCGATTACATTACGGCACGCCTCGTTTGTTTTTTCCATTTGCATGAGACATGCCAAATCAACGAGCTCATTCAGCGCTGTTTTTGATCATTTGCAGAGCCTTCTCAAAGGCAATTGATTTTTTTAGAAATATGTTGCGTGCCGTGATAAATTTTCCGAGTATGTCGACATTAATAATTAATAAAAATAATATACAGGGTGTCAAAAAATAGTGTATTTATAATTGATTTAATACACTTCATTCAAATTCCTACTAGTCACAATAAAAATTTCCTTATATTTAATGATTTCGCTTATACTAAAGTCGGCGCACCGTAACCTTTATAAACGTAAATATCTTGAAAACCGTTCACCGTTTTGAACGAAAGAGCATCGTTTCACGTAAAAAAGTCATCTGTTGAAATTACTGTATCCATTAGGATAAAAAAGTAGCACTAGTTTGGATTCAACACAGTGGTGTTTACAAAAAATAACACCCTGTATTATGTATCCCTTCTTAATCAGTTTACATAATCCTAAGATATAATTAAATTTGTTTTTATAATTTCAGAGTTATATGGAGTGGAAACTTGGACCTTGACAGATGCTACATCTAAACGCCTGGAAGCCTTTGAAATGTGGTGCTATCGCCGCATGCTCAGGATTTCATACACTTACCATGTCACAAACAACACCGTGATCCAGAGAATGCAAAAGGAACTAGAAATTGTACATAGTGTGAAAGTGAGAAAAATGGCATACCTTGGGCATGTGATGCGTAATGATAAATACCAACTTATCCAACTAATACTGCAGGGCAAAATAGATAGCAGAAGAGATCTGGGACGCCGACGAACATCATGGCTGAAAAATATTAGACAGTGGACGGGAATGACGACCGTACATTTATTCAGGGCGGCTGTCAATAGGATTTTATGGACTAACATGATTGCCAACATCCATAGAGGATAGGCACTGAAAGAAGAAGAATTTCAGTTATAAATAAGAAAGTAAATGAAAAATATATGATTTTCAGCATTTAAAAAAAACTAATAAAAATATAAATGAAGGGCTATTGTATGATATGCCACAAATCCATAATTCTGAATTATTAGACTTGGCAGTCTTCAAAAAATGTGTAAATATGAATATTAATAAATATAAATTTGAAGACGTTTTAGAGATAGTTGAGTTTAACTGGCTAAGTATTTATCTAATGTGAACCAGGCAAAAAAAAACACTAGTTACTAGTTAACAAAACTGATTTCTGATTGAGTGAAATACTGAAATCAAAACTACGCTAGGTACTTACTATAGTTGATCTATACTTATAAACATCATAATATTAAATCATATGGAAAATTCTATAATCAAACTTTCTAAAATATAAAATAATTTTTCTTCGTTTTTTTTTTAAATGGAATACCTTCTAGATTTTCTTTTGTTAGATGGAGAATTACAAAATAAACCTTTTTATAACTAAAGTATTTTTTTATAACTTTCAACAGTTTTGCAAATATTCTCGTTTTTATTACATATGGATCATTCAACGGTAAAATATCAGACAATAAATATTATTAGGTAGCTTTGATACAAATTTACTGTTGAAAAAGCCATATGTAGAACCGTTAATAAAATTAAAAACCCTTTAGATATAAAAAATATACATTTCTTAATAATGCTCTATCCAGCAAAAAAAAAATTGAACACTTTGTATAATTTAAGATTGCGATATTTATAGCAAAGTAAGTACAGACTAAACTATAATAAGTACCAAGTATACATTATACATTAAATTTCATGACATTTCTTGTAATTTTAATACTTTTAGCCGACCATACCAATAGGTATGGTAGGCTATTAAGATCGGCAAAAAAAAAGTTTTTTTAATTTCACTCAAAATGAGTTATTTGGGTCATAAATGACATAAATACAAAATATTTTCATGGTGTCTGTCTGTCTGTCTGTCCGTCTGTAACACGATAACTCAAAAACCGCTGAACCGATTTTAACCAAATTTGGCACAAAAATACTGTGGCACCCGAGAATCTGGCCATTAGTTTTTGGTGGGGGTTGGGGGTTGGTAAGGGGGTATGGGAGGTGGTTAAAAATACCAACAAAAAATAGACAACCGGGGCCGGCCGGCGAGATCTTTTATTTTAGGTTATGTTTGAATTGTTTTGAATTATTACTTTAGTTTTATTAGGTAATTTGATATTTAAGTAGCTGGGATTAATTTTAATTAAATAAATATGGTCCAAAATACGGATTCCACCTCTTCCAATATTAAAGAACCTTTAAAGAGGCTAAGGTTTACAGCAGATGACGACTTAGCCCTTCTAAGAGAATTTGTTGCTTGTTGCCCTAAACCCACTGGCAGACGTTGAACAATAAAGCACTGGAAATAATCACTTTAGCCCTTTAGTTTTAAAATACCTAGTAAACAAAACAATTTCAAAGTTTTAAATTCAAAGTTAGGTTAAGTTTAAATAGAAAACGCGACGCGAACAGAATTCTTTCCGATCCGATAACTATAAATGAAGAGAGTTAATACCACCTCAAGTAAAGGAAATAACACCTGGCCTTATTAACGTCCATGCAGGCTATTCGGTTTAGCGATATCTCTCTATTACGCTGTTTATTGTTATTTTACGCGAGTTTACTTTTGCGCACAGGAAATTTTACTCGTTTGCACATCGTCATAAAAAACAATTTTCGTACCACGAATTAGGGACAAGATTTTTATTTGTATACTTATAGGATACCTAATCTGTGCTATTATCCTGAAAATATATCCTAGAGGTAAGGTTTGCACATAATCCCATAAGTTTTTTCTTATAGGAGCTACAGATGCCCGACGCACTGTTGCAGGAATTCACCCTGTGTATATAAAATTTCAATTGTAAACATTTTAATTAATTCTGATAATAAAACCATTAGGTAATAAATAAGTTGAACTAAAACAAATTACACTTTAATCGAGCTTAATTTAAACGATTTGAGTCCACAATAAAGTGAATAATAGCATAGTTTTCGTTGTTTGAATTAAAACGATTGAACAGTCATATATATTTTTTCATAATCTATCAAATGTTGGTATAATCAATCTAAAATAATTTTTAGTAAACTTTATAATTTACTTTTATACCGGGTGCGTCTCAAACCTATAACTTTTTATTTTTTGTGGCTCACCCCTATAACTTTTTATTTTTTCACATAAAAAAACCAGATTTGGTACGTTAGTATATGACATAAATTAGGACTGATTGACGTATTCATTTGTTTTTGGCCACTTCTTATTTCAACGGAAATGACTAATAGTTTTGATTTTTAAATGGCACCTTTAGTATTTTTTTTAACTTTATTCGATAGAAAATGACATTCTGAATAGAATGACATAAATATATAATATATATATGTCAAATTTTGACATTCTCGCTTAATAAAAAATTGTATTTTAGATTTTAATCTGGACTGCCATGGCTATGTTAAAAATACTAATTTTTAATCAAGGAGCCTTGGAAAAATAGATTTGATCATTTACTGTTTTTAGAGTCTTGTCCTGGCCGGTTAAAAGATGCCGAAATACTATTTTTAATCATATCTCAATTTTTTCAAATGGCACGAGGACGGCTCATTAGCATATTTGAAAAAAGCATTTTTTTACGAATAATTTGATACCACACACATATCTCGAGTAAAATTTTCGTTATGAACCGCATGTTATAATTACAAATAAACCATATGCAAAAATGTCAAAAGTTGACATATGATATGTCATTCTATTTAGGGTGTTATTTACTATATACAGGAAGTGACCAAAAACAATTGAATACGTCAATCAATTCTAATTTATGTCGTATACTAACATATCAAATATCATTTTTTTAACTAAAAAATAAAAAAGTTATATGGGTGAGCCACTTTAGAGACGCACCCGGTATGTTCAACAAAAAGTATACGTATATCGAGATAGCATAAATAATATATATCCGCTAAAGAGACATAGTTTTTTTGATAATGTGTTTAACAGATTCTCATTAAAAATTATTTAGACACATCTGTTGAAATAATATGGACGCATAATGTACAAAACACATTTATTTACTCTTCAACTCAAAAAGGTTTATTAATTTAAGTAGGTATTTACGGTGTGTCTCAAAAAACAATTTTCTTCAATTAAAATTTCAAATTCCTTTTTTATTATTAAACTACCTACGATAATTTGATTCATGTACGATGTACGATAGTGGCTGTACGATAATGCCGTTTTGTACGAAAATTTACCCCGCAGGAAAAAGTTTACACAAAGAGGTACCGTATGATCGAAAAAAAAAGCGGCATCCAGTTGGCTTGGAAATTACGATCGATGACATTCCCCATATAATTTTACATACAGGGTCGCTTTTATGTATGGAAACAGTCGATTATTAGGTAAAATATAGAAGGTACCGCAAAAAGTTAAATATAAAAGTTATAGGGTTTATAAATATCTATTGGCGGGTATAAAATTACATATACGGTATAAATTTACATATACAGGGTCGGTCATAAAGTCGATTTCGATATGTTCAGTTTCATTTAACGATGCCATTTTGCCGAAACTGTGATACTTAATAATATTTGACATTAGTTCTCAAGTTAGCATTTATAGATGTATAAAATGAGAGTATAGCAAGTCTGGAAATTACAAAATTTTCGTTTAACATTTCAATTCTTCAATTTATGTACATTGTGTATTACGATTATTGTTTAAAATTGAAGGAAGAATTGAAATATGCAATAATATACAGGGGGTTTCTTTAAAAAAAAAGTTTGATGTGACACAACTTTATGACCTACCCTGTATACTTAAATTTACTAGTAGCTAATAGGAATTTAGAAACCCATTACAACAGTATCACAGTTTCGGCAGAATGGTATCATTAAATCAAACCAAACACATCGAAATTAATTAAATCGAATTGTTTAAGTGATATTTTCAAAAGTCAATAACTCGGAAACGGTTGCTTTGAGGTACATTGTGTGTATTTCGATTTTTGCTTAGAATTGAAGGAAGAATTGAAATATGTACTAATATACAGGGGGTTCTATTTAAAAAAATGAAACTTTGATGTGCCACGACTTTATAAACGACCCTGTATACTTAAATTTATTACTCGCTAATAGATATTTAAAAATCCTATAACTTTTGTATTTAACTTTTTGCGGTACCTCCTATATTTTACCTTATAATCGACCGTTTCTATACATAAAAGCGGCCCTGTATAAAATGACAGCGATCTTCATTTGATAGCCATTGCTGACGCCGTTTTTTTAAAATTGAAATATGTTGTACTTATAGTAACTTTTACCCTCAAAATTTCCTTCGAATCGCTAAAAGCATTTGGAAGAAAATTATAATAAATCGAAAAAAAAAATGTTGAGGCCTATGGTGATATAAGAAATCCATTGTATTTTTACGTGAGGAATCTTCCCACGAGAGATAGCATATGTTTTTTGAACCACCCTGTATAACAAAACTAAATTTTAATTGACTGTAACTATCCCTTTATTGCATTAGTACGCTTGCCTGATGCTAAACTTCAATTAGTTATATTTTAATAGTTAACTAGAAAAAAAATCAAATATGCGACATTTGGAATTGTCAGTTACTTATACTCAATACCATCCTATTAATTTATAATACAATGAAGTTTTGTGATTATATTTAAAAAGAATAAAGTAATTTCCTTCCACGCACAATAAAAATTATTTAACTTTTATTTCCCTAGACTATAGAGTCTACTTAATTCTATTGTTTTCTCGATCATACAATATTTTAGTACTATTCGGTCATGAGCCAAAGGAATCCTTGAAACAAACTAATGGGTCGTTCGTTCCAGAAATCCAAGCATTATCCATATGTAGAGGGGCTTCGGTAGCCAGTACCGCCAGTACGTTCAAAGACTTGTTAAACAGCGGATACCAGAGTGCGGGCTATCATTAAAAGGAACTGACATTTAGTTTTATAGTTTTTTTAATATTATTGAATAGTATAAGTGAAAAAGTTTAAGGTACAAAGTGTTTGTTAGATTGTGATTGCATAATAAATAGGTAAATAAGACTTTTTGTTTATACATATTTTTTTAAATTATTGAAAAACTCTTTGTCAATACAAACTGACAAAATAATGGTAATAATTTCAAAATATATCAGTAGAAATTTTAGTGGTAAGAATTCAATCTTGTGTACATACCTATTCCATTTTAAGATATATAATATATAAATATTGACATTTTTCTAAAAAAATGAATTAATTAGATAGTAAAAATGAAGTATTTAATTAGATAATAATTAAATTGATCGTTTCGTAATTTTTAAAAAATTAATTTCTTTTATATTGTGAACCAAAATTACAAATCACAATGTTATCAACTTTTTTCAAAACGGTATCAGCTAAAAAAATATACAGGGTGGTCCGAACTGTATTCCGGAAACTTCAGCAGCGTATTCTGCAGATAAAAATAAGTAAAAAAGTTCGTGTAAATGTATGTCCTAAAATGCTTAGTTTCGGAGATACAGGGTGTAGAAGCTTCATTTTTATTTCGATTTTTTCCAAATAATTTCTGAAGTAACATCAATATTTGGATGAAATTTGGAGTCTGGGAGTTTTTTGACATGAGAAATTTGATTTTGATGTCAATATGACGTAGGGGGCGCCACCTACATATTTTTAACTGGTTTGAAGAGTAATAACTTTTCGTCCGTACCTGTATAAAACTACTGAATAAAACAATATACATTTACGACGTTTTCAACGTGAAAAAGGTCTCTTGGTAAAAATTGCTACGAGTAATGGTTTTCAAGATATTTGGAATCTAAATTATCAATACTTGTCATCACTGACAAATTAAAATGTTGACTAAATAGTTATTAGACTGAAATCATAAATTTGAAATGTTTTTGTGTTAAAGTTCAACAGAAACTGTTTCATCGTCATTTTTTGCAGAAAAATTTATGATTAATTTAAAAAAATAAAAATTTCCCAAATTTATTATTTCAGTGAAATAACTATCTACTCAACGTTTTTATTTTTCGTCAATAATGACATGTTTTGACTATTTCCATTCTAAATATCTTGAGAACGGTTGCTCGTAGCGATTTTTTCAAAGAGATATTTTTTACGTAAAGAGTCACAGAGATGTATATTTTTTCACTCTGTAGTTTTATACAGGTACGGACAAAAAGTTATAACACTTCAAAACAGTCAAAACACATGTAGGTGGCTCCTTCTACTACTAGGAGTCATATTGACATCAAAATCAAATTTCTCATGTCAAAAAACTCCCAAACACCAATTTTCATCCAAATATTGATGTTACTTCAGAAATTATTTAACAAAAATCTAAATAAAAATGAACCTTCTACACCCTGTATCTCTCAAACTAAGCATTTTAGGACATACATTTATACGAACTTTTTTACTTATTTTTATCTGCAGAATATGCTTCCGAAGTTTCCGGAATACAGTTCGGACCACCCTGTATATGGATGTCACTAATCAGATTTTTTGATATTTTGGACATGATATACAGGGTGTTTCAAAAAACATGTGCCATTTCTCGTGGGCAGATTCCTCACGTAAAAATAAGATTTATTTTTCATATAAACATAGGTCCGATTCTGCTTTGTTTGGTAGCTACAGGGTGTTAAAATCTTAATATTTTGATTTATTATAATTTTCTTCATAGTACCTACTTTTAGTGATCTGAATGAAATTTTGTGTGTAAAAGTTACTATAAGTGCTACATATTTTAAACCTAAAAAAGTGTCGAAAAAAGTGTCATCAGGGACGTGCATATAGGTTATCACTGGAATATTTTTCGTAAGAAAAACATGTGCGACACTAACTTTTTTTTCTTTTGATATCAAAATTGTGTAGGCGGTTTAATGCCAATTAAAAATTATCTCTTGATATTTTGTCGAATTCGGCCTCCTTGATGAGATAAACGCAATTTTATTAATCACAATTCATAAAATTTAAATAAAATTAATATTTATATATTTTACCTAATTTATTATTAAATATTATTATTAGTTATTATTACTATTAGTCCAACCTACAGCAATTTCAAATACAAAAATAATAGTATTTAAGGTAATTACAAAAAACATAATAATTTTAAAAAGGTTTAACATCCTGTAATTCTAAAACTATGCATTATGCATACATGTTTATAGGAACTTTTTTTAATATTTTTTGGTGAGGTTTGGTTCGGTTACTTTTACAATAATAAGTACTTAAATCAATAAGTACTTATTTAAAACGTTCGCAAGTTAATGATATTAATTTTTTTTAAAGGTTGCTATTAGACTTGGATCAAGGCAAATTAATAAAATTGCGTTTATCTCATCAAAGAGACCGAAATCGACAAAATATCAAGAGACAACTTTTAATCGGCATTAAACTGCTTACACTATTTCGCTAACAAGAGTAAAAAAGTCAGTGGCGTACATGCTTTTTTTAGAAAAATATTCCAGTGATAACCCATATGCACGTCCCTGGTGAATATGTCGACACTTTTTTCATTTTAATTTGATCAGAGACTATAGAGGAGTAGTGTCTAAACAAAACAGTATACTATAAGTAGGCTATGAAAAATACATTTTGATATTTATTGTTGTGTACATAAATTTCAAGCATGTTCAAATATGAATTTCATGATGCCATCTCGATAAATGGGGTTTAAAGTTATTTATACTTTGCATCACTTTAGTCTAATTTTTTACAACTAAATTTATATTTTGCTTTATAAACTATTATTTGATAAAAAAATTTAAAGTCACTTACCTATTGCATTTTATTTATTTTTCTAATTCTTTAAATTGGTTACTTATTATTAATTAATATTTATTACATAAATATTTGAAATTTGAATATACCGCGTGGAAATTGAAAATCGGACAATTTGGTGAAGGAATCTTATAAATAGTTAGTTTGTTGTGTGTTATAAGTTAGTAATTGTGTATAAAGTGAGAAAATAAATTCGTTAAGTATTTTATCGTGAGTTTAAATTAGTGGACCCACGGAATCCGTAACAGTATTCTAATTTTCAACAACAGAATTCACTTTATTAATATACTAAAAACAGTCTCGTCTACATATACTTCAAATTTGTAATTTCAGGATTCGTACATAATAATTACTATGGAGTTTTTGCAATTTGCGGACTATAGTCAAAAACCGGAAAATTCTGGTTTTATAATTAAGCCCGTTAGCAACCAAAACAACAATAAAAGGAGAAAAAACACTATGTACGGACAAGACTTCTCAGCGCCTCTCAAACAACGAAGTCAAGCAAATGCCAGGGAAAGAGATAGAACACACAGGTATTTTATTATCCTTGTAATATCGCACTACATGATTTCTTTTTTTCCATAATCAAATACATTACATCATAACACTAAATTCTGAGTACAATTGATTTTCCAGTATCTGTCAAAATTTGGATTTTTAATAAAGTTAGTAACGCCCATTACGTCATGAGACTTTCGTAGAATCTGGATTAATGTTGCTGATAAGAAAGAGTGTGATTTTGTGTGTGGAGAATTTAGATAAAGTCTGCCTAACGACAGCATCTATGACAATGGCAATTGCTGCCTCTGCCATTTTAATTCAAAGGTAAATTGATTTTTCTGTAATTTTTTCTGTCGTCTGTCGAAATGCTGTCAAACGAGTAAGCAAAGATTTCGACAAACAGCGTCCAAAAAATGACAGAAAATACAACGGTCACTGCCATGGATCCTGTCGTTAGACAGACTATACCTGCGTATTTGTCCTTCAAGCATTTTTTAATAATAGACATATAGATAGGTAATGAACATTTAGGGTATCTATTGAAATTATACCGAATGTTTCTCAAAAGTGGCTCACCCCTAACGAGATTTGGTATATTAGTATATGACATAAATTAGGATTGATTGACGCATTCAATTGTTTTCGGTCACTTCCTGTTTCACCGGAAATGACTACAACTTTTAATTTTTAAAAAACACTCTCGGTATTTTTTTACTTTATTAGATAGAAAATGGAATTCAATAAAATTTTGACATTTTCGCTGTCATGCTGTGTTCGTAACGATAATTTGACTCAAAATACCAAGTATGTGGTACTACATTATTCGGAAAAAAATGCTTTTTCTAAATATGTCAACGAGCCACCTTAGTTCCATTTCAAACAATGAGATATGATTAAAATACAATTTGGGTATCTTTTAACCGCCCAGAACAAGACACGAAAAACACTGGAGGATCATATATCTCAAAAATTAGTGTTTTAAACACATCCATGGTACTCTAAATTAAAATTTAAAATACTATTTTTTAAGCGAGAATATCAAAAGTTATATGATATGTCATTCCATTCAGTGTCATTTTCTATCGAATAAAGTAAAAAAATACCTATGGTGCCATTTAAAAATAAAAAATTGTAGTAATTGTTAGTCCGGTGCAACAGGAAGTAACCGAAAACAATTGAATAGGTCAATCAATCCATATTTATGTCATAATATACTAGTGGGTGAGCCACTTTTGAGAAACACTTGGTATATGAAGTTCCCTGTGACCCAGGGTACCGAAAAAATCTCACATTTCAAATCAAACTCATCTTTCAAATCTTTTATTTCTTTGGAGAGTTTCATGAATTTTTTTATGAATTAAGCTTGATTTTCATGCATCTGTTAAGCCGGAGTTTCATGCATCCGAAATCCGATGGTACGACATCCGAAATTTGAAGTTATCCTGCGAAATAAAAAAAGCCTGTCACATACATCCGAAAGTTTGTTCCGAAATTTGACAGTTTTGACATTTAGACCTGTCGTTCCTATCAACAGTATCAACATAAATTACATGTATTATTGGAGAAACACTTATAAAAATAATTTCCTCGCTAAATATCCCGAAATTGCCCACTTTCCACTAAACTTGTTTTTAAAACCCAATGTTTTCAAAAAAAGTGAGGTTAAAAAACACACGATATCGTACAAAAGTTAAACAAAATTTAACTTCATACGACGTCGGACGATTAGTTAAAAATATCGGATAAAAATTGGTGTCAAAATATTTCAACCAATAGGAGCACCGTCGGATCGTCGTGTCATCGGATTTCAGATGCATGAGACTCCGGCTTTATACGTTGATACGATGGTCCGACGGTGCTCTGATTGGTTATAGTGTTTTCGCGCCACTTTTCATCCGTAAATATTTTACTTCAGCCCGCCAACGGCCCCGTTCATACGATAACGGACTTTTTGACACTTTTTTGACAAATTTAAAAATATAAATAAAATAGCAAAATCGTTATGGAAACGAAAATATAAAATGACACCAACGTATATCCGATAAACGGAGGCATGAAAATGCAATAAGTTTAAAAACTGAGTTATTTTCTAACCAATCAAAGTCTTTAAATTCTTCCAATAAAATTAATATCGTATCAACGTATCGTCGGACAACGGATGCATGAAATCAAGCTTTCAACTATAGCACACATTTTTTTCATAGATATAGGGAGCGAATCAAATTTATTTTTCCCGCAAAATGTCTGTGAGACTTTATTTCGGTATACGTATACGTATTATTAATAAATATTTCGTTACCGGAGATATATAAACGTATCTCTGATAAATAACTAATTTTTTTAGCCGTTTATTCATTTACAAATATGTATTCTGTAATGATAGTAAACCCGTCAGTATGAAGAATTTCTTTTGATTTAAATAAAGTCATTACTGTTTCAGTGTCAATACAGCTTTTACAACCTTAAGGACCCTTATACCTACAGAACCAAAAGATAGAAAATTAAGTAAAATAGAAACATTACGACTAGCTTCGAGTTATATATCTCATCTGGGAACTCAATTAATGGCTGGTAAGCATACAAAATACTTACTGGACTAGCAAAGTCAACTAAATAACTATATTTCATATCAAATAAAACTTTTAGTTACGTGATTCATCTTGACCGGCACAGCGTTGCCCACTTTTACATATTTTCTTTTAATCAAAATAATTTAGGAAACAAAAATAAATTAATTATAAATATATAAACAATTATTATTTACACAAAAAACTCATCTTATTAACATCACTTGGACATAAAGTGTAAGATTAAGCGGTAGTAAAGATTACTACCGCTTTCCCGTTCAAAATATTCTAATAAAGTTGCGATTAGTTTTTTTGCGGCTATTAAGCTATCTTGTACACTTCGCACTAAAAGAGGTTCTAAAAAGAACAATGTTCGACTGCAAGGTCTGCTATTAAACATTTTTAAGCTTAAACAATCACAACACAATTCATTTAAACGAAAAACTCAAAATACAAAACTAAAGTGTCAAAACCAATGACAATGTAAGGAAATAAATAAATAAATGTGGCAACTTGACATTTTTTATAGCACAGAGCTACCCCCTGAATCCCGAGGAAGACATTTAAATTCCAGTTAATCAGCCCGGCGCCGAATATGTCCATGGTTGGCAACAATGAATTTAAAAATCGCGCGCTCGATTACATAACTAAAAGTTTAAATGATGTCATATTATGTAGTACTTTAGTACTTACCTCCAAATTGCTGTGACTAAATAAAGTACAGAAGTTCTATTCCTTTCAATATTCAGATTTCTTTTATTTCAGGTCCAATTGATCAACCTTGTTTAAGATTAATAAAAATATCTGAAGAGGATAATCCAATAAATCCCAATAACAGACAAGTTTGTACCTTTTGTATATCGCATAAAAAGTTACCTGTAAGTACATACATTGTCAGAATACAAGGAATACACCCATCTATAATTTACAATATTGAAATAAAACATTTTGTTGATGAATATATATCTTTGTTCCACCATCTCAAATGTTTGTATACCGGGTGCGTCTCAAAAGTGGCTCACCCCTATAACTTTTTTATTTTTTTAGTTAAAAAACGAGATTTGGTATGTTAGTATATGACATAAATTAGGATTGAATGACGTATTCAATTGTTTTCGGTCACTTCCGGTTCCACCGGAAATGATTACAACTTTTGATTTTTAAATAACACCCCCGGTATTTTTTTACTTTATTCGATAGAAAACGTCACTCATAACATATTATATGTCAACTTTTGGCATTTTCGCATGTGGTTTATTTGAAATTATAACTTGCGGTTCGTAATGAAAATTTGACTTGAAATACCAAGTGTGTGGTATCAAATTATTCGTAAAAAAATGCTTTTTCCAAATATGCTAATGAGCCGCCCTCGTTCCATTTGAAAAAAATGAGATATCATTAAAAATACGATTTGAGCATTTTCTAACTGGCCAGGACAAGACATTAAAAACATTAGACGATCGAAATCTATTTTTCCAAGGCACCTTGATGAAGAATTAGTGTTTTTAATATGACCATGGCACTCTAGATTGAATTTTAAAATACAATTTTTTATTAAGCGAGAATGTCAAAAGTTGACATATGATATGTCATTTTATTTAGAATGCCATTTTCTATCGAATAAAGTAAAAAAATACCGAGGGTGCCATTTCAAAATCAAAAGTTCTAGTCATTTCCGGTGAAACAGGAAGTGACCAAAGCCAAAAACAATTGAATACACCAATCAATCCTAATTTATGTCATATACTAACATACGAAATCTCGTTTTTTTATCTGAAAAAATAAAAAAGTTATAGAATTTAATAATTATAACTACTAATTAATAATATAGCATTAATACAGAATGTATGATAATAAAAACTGTAAACTATTATTTTTAGAAGATTCTACCCCAGGAAAACTATCCATGTCAAAATTTCGACTGTCAACAAATATTGATGGAAGCTCCCACAGAATCAGTATCTCCAATTTTAATGTCAAGTGATATGACGCCCCTTTATCATCAACAATCGCAAACGTTGATTAATACAATATCTTTAAACGAATCAACTAATAGCCATAATGTGTAGTAATATTATAAGAATGCCTTTTAAATTGTTCAATAATCAGTTACAGCCAACTGTAGAAATTCATAATTTTGTTAATGTAAAGATAGTGTTTTTATCTATTTATTGTTAAGTTATCAAATCCAACAATAGGTAGCTATATATTTTATTAAAAGCCTCGCAAATTAGTCTGGAATTTCAAGACCTATATTGAATTTACGCAGGCGATTAAGTCAGCACATATTTTTAGGTTTTAAATGACTTTTAATTTATGTGATCCAAACAAAATAATTTTTAAGAAACTAATTGTTCCAGTTGCGGCGGCTTATGATTATAAAATTTAAATCTAATCAAATAATTATTGTTATGTTTGAGACTTTTTAGTTGTCGTCAAGAGTAATGTACTTAATTGCTTTTATAGTTTTTTAATTGAAACTTATAATTAATGTGACATTACGAGGTCAAGTTTAATTGTTTTTGTGTGTATCTTAAAATGAATCATAGAGATGGGAGTGTAATATTTTAATATTTTAGAGCTATGCAGTAAACTATTAGGTTTAGTATCGATAATATTAAGTTAAAACATGAGTATTTATACAGGGTGTTCCAAAAAACAAGGGTCATCTCTCGTGGGTAGATTCCTCACGCAAAAATAAGATTTATTTTTACATATCAACATAGGTCCGATTCTGCTTCGTTTTGTAGCTACAGAGTGTTAAAGTCTTAATAATCTTTCGATTTATTATAATTTTCTTTCAAGTACTTTTAGTGATTCGAATAAAATTTTGAGAGTAAAAGTTACTATAAGTGCTACATATTTTAATGCTAAAAAAGTGTTGATAAATTTATTAGGGACGTTCTGATGTGTCACTGGAATATTAAAAAAAAAACATGTGCGCCACTGACTTTTCTTTGGATGTGAAAATTGTGTAGGTCGTTTAATGTCAATTAAAAGTTATCTCTTGATATTTTGTTGAATTCGGCCTCCTTGATAATATAAACGAAATTTTATTAATCAGAATTAATAAAATAAATAAATTATATATTTTTTACCTAATTTATCATTAAATATTAGATTCCAGTTAGTTATTATTACTATTAGTCCAACCTACAGCAATTTAAAATAAAAAAAATAATGGTATGTAAGCTAATTACAAAAAAAAAACTAATTTTAAAAAGTTTTAACATCCCGTAACTCTAAAACTATACATTTCCATATCCATGGTTATAGGCCCTTTTTTATATTTGTTGATGAGGAATCAATGAGTACTTATTTAAAACTTTCGCAAGTTAATAATATTAAAATTTTTGAAAGGATGGTATTAGACTTGGATCAAGGCAAATTAATAAAATTGCGTTTATCTCATCAAATAGGTCGAAATCAACAAAATAAATTATAATAATAATAAATACCAAAATATAAACCCTTAATTACCTTATTTCTATAACACGGTATCAGTAGCCCCCTTGGTTATGCCCATTCTAATAAAAAAATAAAATAGAAACGGTTAGTTTATTTTAAAATCGACGATATACCAGAATACCATAATACCAGATGTATTAATATCTAATAATTAAGATATTAATAACAGTGAACAAGAAACGATGCCTCAGAGGGAAGTCATGGTAGGCTTTGGAAAAAAAGTTGCTTTTGACGTAATAGTATAAACGTCAAATTGTACTTAGATCAACATTTTGATAGTCTTAGCAGCGTTTTTTTTCTTTTGATTGCTTTTCCAAAATTATTTGAAGTAATTGAAGATGTTGAAGACAGTGCCCCCTAGCGTCTACGTTCAAAAGCTTATTATTATTATTTTTATGGTGTTTGTGTAATATAGAGTAAGGAACGCTCTTTTAAACGAGCCCTAGTTTGTTGGATTCTGATCATCCAGTCCGGAGTTATTAACATTTAAATAAAGACAGATCTAACCTTCCCCTACCACTTTATTTTAGCAGATAGGGGAAAATGGTTCTAACAAAAAAAAAATCCAAAATTTACTGAAGATTATAAAAACATTATTTTTAGTACCCATTATGTAAGCAAAATTCTTTAAAAATTCTATTTTCTTATTTTCCATAGCAGTTGCGCCCTCTAGCGGTCGTTTTAAAAACTTGAAAGCCTCTTTAGTTATAAATATTTTTTTCCGTAGGCCCTACGGCTAATACTTTCCGAGATACAGCCGAGAGCTATTCTTAGTGGGACACCCTGTAGTATAATATTTATGTATAGCTACTACCTTACTTTTAAATTATTCATATTTTAAAAGAAAAAAATAGGCACACTGTCCTTGTGGCTGTAGTCTGTCCAACGATAACAGAGACAGTTGTATATTGTATATGCCATTTTAATTCACAAATAAATTGTATTTTCTGTCATTTTTTAGATGTCGTCTGTCGAGATCTTGCCTGACTCAGACAACTCTCGTTATCATGTATGCTATCGTTAGGCAACTTTTCATTTGCAAAATATTGTAACTGATGTAATTTATTCTACTTGCAATTAAGCTATATGTTTTCATATTATTACTAGCCATGTTAAGTATTTTATTGAGTTATTTAATATTAATTAAACATATTTATAGCTAAAGGGAAATTAAAACAACACCGTTGCGCGTCGTCAATGACACCATGCGTCGTCTTATGGAGTTTGCTGGTAGTCGTATTATGATGCGCAACGAAAGTTATTTTAATTTCCCCATAGCAAAAACCTTATATTTTAGCAACACAATATTATTATTAAGATTTCCTAATGTTACTCAGACTATGCTACACTAGTAGTGCGTTTATGGGACGACCGAGTATATTTGGCATCTTCTACTACCATTTTCACTCTTTTCTGTTCTGTAACACTTTACGATTTGAAGTAGTGATTCCTTAGGGGTTTCACCACTTTAAGAAACCTTATATAAGACTGTAAAGCTAAGTAAATTAATGACTTACATGAAACTTAAAATAAAACAAGTTTTTGTATTATATTATCTTTTATTTTGAATAACAATATCTTGATAATACCGAAACCATGCGGAATCTGATTCATTGTTATTATAATCAATTAAAAATTTTAGTATAATTTTATTTAAAATTGATTTGTGAACATAAATATTCCTTTCCTCTGCATAATAATTTAAATTTTGATTTTTACAATTATTAGAATGAGTTGACTTTTTACAAAAATGCATATAAAAATCATTAACAAACTTAAAAGCTACAGCAGCACTACCAAATTCTTCTAAAAGAGTTTTAAAGTTTAAAAGTCGTATAATAGCTACAACAGCAGTTGGAACATCGGTTTTCGAGATTGACGTTACAAAATCCCATAAACCGTATTCAACGATAAGGAACGCTGCTATTTTAAAAATTACAACTCTTTCACAGGGACAAGACAAATTTTCATAAAAATAAAACAGCATTTCTGAAACAATTTCAGCTATTTCAGGGCTATTTATATTCAATTCTTGAAGTAACTTAATAGACTTTTTGACGAATTGTTGTTCTGATGGGCCCAATTCCAGTCGGCTTAATAATAATATTATAGTAAATATTTTATATATATTTTTTGTATTATTATATTTCATTCTAAAAGTATTTAATAAGGTTTCATGGACTTTCAAATCGTAATTAGACGTCATACAAAATATAAATCTAAAGTAACATATAAGTAAGTAGCTCTTATTATCATCAAGTTCGAGCATTTTTTCAGTCAAAACACCAATAATTTCCTTTGATATATCCTTATCAAAAAATCTTTCTGTATGACGATCTAATAAAACAGACAACATTTTACTTTGAACACAGTCCAAAACTTCTTTGGAGAGTATAATGGATAAAACTTCAGATAAATTAGCGTAGATACAATTTCTAATAATATAAGGCAAATAATTATGCTGCCATAATCGATCCCTCCACCCATTTGAAGCACTATCTAAAGTTTTGAATCTGTACAAGGCAGTGTCACTTGGCAAAACTTTAACTGAAAGCAAATCAAACTGTTCACCACTTAAATTTTGAAGAAATAATGAAAGTCTACGAAACGTTTTATAAATTATGGAAATCTCCTTGGGAATTTCGTGTAATTTATTAACATAAATAATATATTTCTCATAAAGTTCTTTTAAAGCCATCATATAATTTGCCAGTGTGTGCTTTTTCTTAACATAATGCATATTTGAGATAATATATTCTATAATATCACAGATAGTTAAGGGTATCGTATCCTCTAGACAAATAGACACAAAAGCTCTTGCAGCAAATGACCCATAAACATTAGAATTAGTTTTAATTATCCTAATAAATAATTGACCAAAACAATCTATTATAGCTGACATATGTTCTGATTTGAATGGTTGTTTTTTAATTTGCGATTCTGAAAAAAACTGCGAGACAACAATAAGTGAATCGTTGAAAAACGTTGTAGATAAGACCTGAGAGAAAATTACAGCTAAATAGGGAAAAAGATAAAATAAATCTTCTATTGATTTCGGACGGTTGCTATATCCAATATGCACTCCATAAAATCGGTCGATAAGTGACTTGGCTAGTTGAATATTGGCATTTCTGAAATTGTCAAATATAATTTAATTAATAAATATCAGACTGAGGCTTAATACTCCCTAAAATTCTAAGGCTACAAGAGTTGCGATTCGAAATGTAAGACTAGACCTATTCAGTACTGAAATTTGAATTGTCGGTGTTGACACTGGTACACCGGATAGTCCATATTTGGCCACCGGTGTTAGCCCAACTACAGCCTTAAACCGGTGTACTGGTGTTTAGAACAGGTCTAGGAAAGACTAGTGGCGGACAATGATTAAAAGATACAATCGCTGACGTTTGACGTAAACCTATTATATTTGCTATTCTTATATGTTATTATATGTCTTTTTTATATAAGTAACGTAAATTAAACAAACTTTGAATAAAAAGATTTTTAAATCTTTTTATTGAGTAAAATAAAACACTAACTCACCACAATACACAAAAAACACTTTTACTTTTGCACTGGACGCGCGTTTTGCCTGGTTTCGCTAACTACGTTAACAAACAAGTTTAGATTGGAAAGTGTCTATAAGGACAATGTAAACACTATTTGGCGCTATTCTTGCAACGGTAGCGACCCAAAGCTTTGGATAACTTCGGATCGGTTCGGCTTGACTGTGAGTTCGAACAATGGAAGATTATTTTATCTATGGTTCGAACCTTTGAATAAGAAGACTAAGGAAGGAGCATAATGCTATCCATGTATTCATGCATGGTGGGCGGAAAAAGCGCCATAAAAGCACTCTAGGGTGGGGATCCTTGACAGTTCTGTTTGACGATGCATTTGACACATTTGAATTTGATTTGAAATTTTGTGGATTTGTCAGTCTTTACGGAGCTTATTTTATGTTATTTATTATTTATTCTACTACTGATAGTTGTATAAAGGTAGTAAATCTAGATGGAAATTGTGGCAGAACTTAAATTAATAGTGACACTATCGCGATTTATCGAAAAAGACTCTAAAATAGTTGGTTGTGTAGCGTGCGGTAGATCTCGGCAAAAATTGAGTGGAATAATGGAACAACTTTTCGCTAGTAAGTGACTATATACATACGTGTAGTAAACCGAGCATTGTTGTATCGGATGTTTGTGGTAATAAATACTTATTATAACTTATCTATTTTTATTAGAATTATATATTTTTATAACAATTTTAATAACTACCAACATTTATTCACAACGTAAAATAAAACAACTACAAATTATTGAGTCTACCCCACGTCTACCCTACATCATAGTTTTACATTTTTTAAATAAAATTAGAACGACACTGATAAACCGGAATTTAAGTCGGCCATATTTGACGCCCATCGCGGTGTACCTAAGATTTTTGATATGCTCCTTCCTTAGTCTTCTTATTCAAAGGTTCGAACTGAGAGACAAAATAGTCATCATGAAACCCCATTTTCGACAGATCTCTTTGACGTTTCAGTTGACGCATTTGAAATTTTGCGGATTTATTCTGCTTTTTTGAGCTTATTTTCTATTATTTATTATTTATTCTACAATTGGTTTTGTTTAGAGTTAGTAAATATGGAAGTAAAGTTAGTAGTATAAACGTAGTAAATTTGGAAGGATATTGTATCAGAACTTAAAAGAACAGTGACATTGGGGAATTCTAGAAAGACTGTAAACTACCTAGTTAGTTGTGTAGAGTGCAGTAGATCTCGGTCAAAAATCGGGAGAGTTAATAATTTTATATTGAAATAATTTTCACTGGTAAGTAAATATACAGGATTGTTCACCACATTCGACACGGAGTATTGTAGCTAAACGATTTTTTTACAAATTGTAAGTTTTGGGTTCGTTGAAGGACTATTACAGCCACAATTTAAAAATATTTTTAAAAGATACAGAGTGTCCCAAATAAATAAAAAATATCAAAGTTGTATTTTTTTAAATGGAACACCCTGTATATTATTACATTTTTAGTTTCTACTATTAAAATAAAGGTAAATTTGGTACATCTTTAAAAATAATCTAAAATGTCAGTATTCCATGGGTATATTAATAAATCAGTTCTAAATAACAATAAAATATGCATTTTCTACGGAAACTTGACGAGATAGGTAAAAAATGATATCATACAATTTGATAGAGAATTAAATTGTAAACCTGATTCTCATCAAATATAGAGGGTGTTCTATTTAAATTAAACAAGTTATTGCCGTTTAAAAGTAGTAATTATCTAAAATCAATTTTTAGACATTCTGTAGGAGGTAGTATTATGTTTGTTATTGCAACACAATAACTGATCAATAAATAAATTTCGTTAAATATTTAGTTTTAAAAACTTTGATACCCTTGGAAAATTGAAGCCTTAAAATTTTTACTGCAATTTCACACAATTGAAAATATTTAAAAACGGTAAGGTTTAAGTGTAATAAACCTTAATCAAATTTGTGTCGTATGTGGTGTCGTATGTGGTGAACAACCCTGTATAATATAATACACATTAAGTGGTAGTAAACCAATCAGTTATAAAATTCGCTTAGAAATTTAACTATAATTATTTTTTTTCTTGCACTGCTTTCTTCAAATAAGCTATTTATTAGTGAAAATGTGATTAAGATTGTAAAAATCTGAAAATTTTTAGGCGAATGTTTGTCCGCGGTTTTTTTATTATCATAAAATATGACAAAATTCAAACAAATTCTAAAATGTGATAGCTGTTCATTCTACCTTTTAAATGAACTTTGAATCATAAAAATATATTAAATTTTAGCCGAGTTATTAAACAATTTGTCCTATCAATCAATGATACTCTTATGAAATCTATCTCCGGAGCCGTTAAGACTGGGAGACAAAAATTCAGGGATCTTTGAGACGGAATATCTCGAAAACCGCTATTTCTACGTAAAAAATGATAAGGATCATTTATACCGTGCTGGCAACTGTTACTTTTGGGTCGGCATTTACATGTGTAGAAGTAAATCGCATAGGGATCTTATTAAGTCGGAGTGAGAGAAATGCGACCGACCGACGCGACGCGCGACGGTATGCTGTTGCGGCGTTGCCGATACGCCTTTCCCTATCAAGTAAAGTAAAATCACGATCGCAAATCGCTTATTTTTAAAAGCCTATTTTTTCAAGAGATAACTGATAAAATCATTAGACATGTTTCTGAGCATCTGAAATGGAATTATAAGGATATCGTTAGGGTGTCATTTTTTTATAACGAGAAAACGTCAGTAATCGCGATAATTTAAAAACTCAACTTTTTAACACATAACAAGCCATAACTCAAGAACCACTTTAGATATTGAAACTTTTTTTTATTTTCAAGATCGGATATTTTACAATATGTTTACATAAGAAAAATTCGATAAGGTTGTTTTTTCCATTTAAAAATTGTAAACAATCCATCTATTTACTTTTAGAGCATAGCAATTTTCAGCAATCGTGTAGTTTTTTTATTGATAAAGATTTTCACATACTGTCTACAAAGAAAATACAGCAGAAATATTAACAAAGTTCTTGAAAAAACTACAATCTATTATTTCTAATAGATTTCGAGATATTGATTTTTGAATTCAGAGTTCTAATAGCGCGACCACTATCGAACACCCACTCAATTCCACTTATTTTTACCAAAAATGCAAGTGTTTCTAGCTTGCACTTAAACAAATTCAAGCTATAGGGAAAATTACAACGACTCGTTAATAAATAAACAAATTAAGTATCACGAGCCGTAATTAAATCGTGAAGCTGAACGCATGACGTACACCTTTCCCTAGAACTTTAAGTACTGAGAGAGGTATTGATTGGGTCGACCGGTCAACTGCGACAAATCTGCTATATCCCTTTCCACGTCTCTTAGCGATGTGCACAGTTTCTCGGTTTATTTCATACGTTTGGCAACGTGTTTACTGTCCTCTCTTTGTTCAGTACATTATAAACGCATTGTACTCTTCTTACATACGGAAATCTCAACCCAAAACTAATCTTTGCCAGCCCTTAGTATATGTAATTACCTAAGCTTCGTTTTTTATTCCGCCTAAAAAGTCATGGTTGGCGAATTACGCCGAGACTTGGGCCTTTTCGTGTCCTTATTTAATGGACTATAAAACGAGTAAAATACAGTTTATACTATATTTAACTATTAATATTTTTTTTATTAAGAGCATATAAAAATTGACTACCCACCTGACAGTCCAATGTTTCTGATCAAAAAGGTTAACACAAATTTTATAAACATCCGGCACAAACTTCAATGTCTCGTTATGCAAAGTACTGTCTGATATTAGAGTTTCGATACAATGCAAAGCAGATGCTACTGTAGAGGAACTGGAAGTAGAGTCTGATAATATTCTTATTAATTCATTAAACGTCCATTTCAAAAAGGGCTAAAAATAATTATGTAATATATATTATAAATAAAGTAGCTTGGGAAATCCTCTAATGATAGTATTTACCAGTGATGGGCGGTGGGTATACCTAACGGGTAGATAAATAAAATCTGGATATATACCCAGACGTTGCCGGGTATATAACCATGTAGCCAGCAGTATTGTAGATATATTCAGCGTTGTGTTGATGTATTTTTGATAGAATTTATTGTCTATTGTGCACTCTTCTGTACATTCTTTAACTAACTTGTCTTATAATTTCTAACTATTTATTCTTAGATATTTCTTTAAAGTTGAATGTATTAACAAATTACTGTTGAAATTTGTTAAGAGTACCTTAAATTACCAAAGTTAGCATATTTGGGTATACAGTTTATACCAATTAAACTTTTAGTGACGTGATTAAGCTTGACTTGCAGAGATTTGGCCACTTTTATATATTTTCTTTTAATCAAAATATTTAAGGAAGAATTATAAATATATAAACAGTTATTATTTACATCAACAAAACTCACATTCTTAACAGTATTTAATGGACATAAAGCTTTTCCGTTCAAAATATTCTAATATAGTTGCCATGAATTTTTTACGGGTATTAATCTATTTTGTAGACTTCTCACAAAAAGAGGTTCTAAAAAGAACAATGTTCGACTGCATGTCTGCTATTAAAAATATTTTTTTGTCTTTTTAACCAGTAGCTTATGACTTTTAACCTCACGCGATGTATAACTATCTGGTCATGTTATATTTTCACTAGCTATCACAAAAATACACTTTAAAAAGTTTTACCAGCAGTATTTATAATATACGAAATTCAAATAATTGTTTTTTTGACAGAAGAAAATAAATTGTCTACTAGATAATAAATTGGAAGCTAGATAAAATTAAGAAACAATTACTCTTTAAAACTAAATCTTAAATAACTTAAAAACGATTTATTTTAGGTATAGGAACATGTATAACCAAAAAATAACGAATTGAAAAACCTTTTCACTAGTGAAATAAAAAAGTGGGTTTCCATTTGAAAAAAATAATTTATGATAATTTTTTAATAGCTCAATTTCATGACAGCTACTGCCAATATTATATGACATTCGAACAAAATAATTTTTGAAATAGATAGCCACATATCTTCTCTTTATGCAGTGGCTGTGATAATCACTAAATTTGTCGTTTAGGCTATACAGATTTTTCTTAACAGGCAGTATTTTTCCTCCAAAAATTTTAAATATTTTTTTCCTCAAAAACGGTTAATGTTAGGTATAGGGCGTTTGATATCAAAATTCATAAAATGTTACAGATAATTTAAGTATGTAATAAAAATGGGGGTACCCATTTAAAATAAAAATGTTGGATCGGTATTTCCGGAAGTGCCGCCATGTTGAAAATATTTTTAATCGATAGATCTCGTTGTGAAACAGTAATGTGTAAAAAATCTCCGATCTAAATATCGTTGTTCTCTAGAAACTTCTAATGCACGCTCAGCCTGGGACACCCTGTATATCGGATGCAAAACCTTGGGTATTTACCCAAATTTTAATATATTGGATATTTACCCATCACTGGTACTACAGAAGACACATAAGTAATAAAATATCTATTGAAATAAAATAGTCAGTTTTCATGTTTAAAAATAAAATGAGTCTGTAATTGTATGATTTACCTTCGATAAATTTTTGTCAGAAACACATAAAGCATGAATGATTAGTCTACTTTCTGGATTCCTTCTAATTGTTAGCTGCTGAACTGACGAAGCATAAAATAATTTTAGCATAATATCATTTAAAAACAAAAATTTAAATTCATTAAACGTATGATCGCCTTGGTGCTTATCTAACGCCTTTATAAGTATCTGAGCACTTATTGTAGTGGGCCGCCTCATATTGCTTTTTTCAATAATTTTTGATAAAAACTTAACTGCTTTTGAAGTATCCAAAAAATCCAAAGTTCCCATAATATATTGTAGGATATTCTGAAATATTTAACATTTATTAAACCAGCATTTAGTTATTGTATTGTGTAAACTTACATTTAAAAGTGCTTCGACAATTTTCTTAATTTTATGTTTAAACGAGTATTGATCATTATTACACAACATATCATCTACAATATCAAAGTAATAACACATTAAACATAGATCTGAAAAATCATTCTCTTATTATGTGAACATTTTACCTGATGAAATGTTTCCTTGTCCAACATGTTCTAATATTATATCTACAACATCAAAACATTGTTCTACCATTTCAATAGCAGAAGCTTCATATTTGAATTTAAAATTTATCAATTCCAGAAGCACATCAAATAAAAGTAATGCTATAACAACATAAAAATTAACATATTTTTACAAAAAATAAATTTACCTTATTACCTTCAAAAATATATCTTAGATTTAAAATATTACTTTTAAATTTTTCTGAAAATATTTTATTTAAATTAGTGCACAATTTTGAATAGAGTATTATATTTGCCTCATGCTTATTATTGCTTACAACAATTCTTGCAAGATGTATTATTGATTCAGATGTCTAAAATATAACAAGCATCTCTAATTTGCTTTGTTATAACGGTTATAACCAGGGTTGGAAAAAATCATGATTTTTAAGAAAATCGGATTTTTTTTATTTAAATCAGATTTTTTTGATTTTAATTCAAAACAATATTTAAATCGGATTTCGAAATGACTAGGACTTATTTCCAATTAAAGTCCTATCCTAAATGGCTAAATCTTTATAACTCTGAGCGATACCGATAACACGATTCTATGGCGCGTGTCATTTTTTACTGTTTTTGCTTTAACTTATTAAGTTGTTAATTTTTCCTTATCTAAAGTATATTGTTAATTTTCATTTTTCTTACTAATTCTTTTTTCTTTGAATGTTATTTTTTAAGAATGTATTATATTATTTACTTTTTTTATATGCTCGGTTAACTTAACAGCTCTGCTGAATTTCGCCGAGTAAAAAATAAAGACGTTATTTATTTATTTATTTATTTATAATACTTTAAAGCCAAATACTAAAGTTTGTAATAAACTGAGTTTACGAATTAAATCTGATATATTAATATTCAGTTTGCTAAAAAATGCATTAAAATAGGACTAAAAATACGTAACACTTTAAATTTGACGGGTAATTTTTCTGTTGCGTTTTTTTGCATCTGAGTATGTACAGGGTGCTACAAATTCGAGGTACGAGCATTGGTATTTCTGTAACCGTAATAGATACGAACATGGTTAAATAGAGGCAAAGTTGCGCTTTGGGATGTTCATCAAGATGCCATCAAAAGTTTTAAAAATTTTAAGAATTGCTGAGTTTTTTGGGAAAAACTGATTTTTTTGAAAATCAAATTTATTTTTTCCTGTCGTTACTTTTTAGAAAATCAAAAAACTAATTGTACATTCTCTTAGCCATTTTATTAGAACTATCTGATACTATTTTTAGATTTTCAAATTAGCTGATAATTTTTGAGATACAGAGGCGAACTTAATTTTTTTAAATACGGACCTGCATTTTTTATTTCAGATTTTGAAAGAACGCGGTCTCCTGAGTTAAATGATATGCCACACTTAATATTTTTTGTTTTGACATTTGAACACAATTTATTTAAACTAAATTCAAGTCCGGCTCTGTTTTTTTTTTAATATTTAATCTATTCATCGTTACAATATTGATAAACTTTCAAACTTAACAATGACGTGGGGTTAAACATTGAATATGGAAAATCAAATGCAATGAAATAATATAAAATTATTAATATAAATATAATATTATAATATAAATAATCAAATAATTTTCCCGGAATATGTATTGGAAATGGTAGAGCAGTATAATGTCCAACAAGGTTCCTGGGCCTATCGCCAAGGGGCTACATTATGTGACGTCATTTGTAAAAGTGAAATTAATTCATCTCAACATTTACAATAAAGAGTACAAATGCATTCGGAAGTATAAGAAGTTGATTTATTTATAATAACTACGATTAATATTATGCATATTATTAGATCGCACACAGAGATTTCAAATTCACAATAAGAAAAATTAAAAATAATATCTTTAAATTTCTGACCTGGATATTATTTATTTGAATCTTCCAATTGGCTCTATTTTCCTTATTCAATGTTAATTAACGCTGATCAATATTGTTGCGATGAATATAATCAGATTAAATTATTTAAGAAACCAGAGACGGACTTGTAATTATTTTAAATACAAGTTAAATAGTTTTGTTGTTTTTAAGGTATCCAAAACAAAGAAAAATTAAAGTGTGGCATATCATTGTATTCAGGAGCCCGAGTTCTTTAAAAACCTGAAATAAAAAATGCAGGTCCGTATTTAAAAAAATTAAGTTGGTCTCTGTATCTCACAAATTGTCAGCAAATTTGAAAATCTAAAAATACTGTCAGATTGCCCTAATAAAGTGGCCATGAGAATGTGCAATTATTTTTTTGATTTTCTAAAAACTAACGACAGGAAAAAATTAAATTGATTTTCAAAAAAATCAGTTTTTTCCAAAAAACTCAGCAGTTCTTGAAATTTTTAAATCTTTTTGATGGCATCTTGGTGAGCACCAAAATACGCAACTTTGCCCCAATTTAACCATGTTCGTATCTATTACGGTTACCGAGATACCAATGCTCGTACCTCGAATTTGTAGCACCCTGTATAATATAGTAATGATAAAAATTCTTACCAATATTGAAATATTATATGTATGGTGTTCAATATATTCCATTAAATATGCATTATCTAACTTATCACATTTCATACAATTAGCCAATTTTGTTAATTCTAAATTTGAAAAATCATTTTCTATTAGACAATTTTCTATTAAATTACATACATTCTTATTATCTCCTGATATTACACAAGTTTTAAAATTAACACAGTTAGAAGATAATTCATCTATTTTATAATATAAGTTAAATTCACGCCTTCGTAACTTTGAAATAATATTTAGTATTTGTGCACCAAAGCCAATAATATCTTTTTCAATAAGCTGATGTCCCAACCTCTGGATGTCATTAAGGAAAGTTTGATACATAGATAATGTTTCTTTATTTCCATCATTCTGGTCGGTAATATTTTGAAGATCCATACAGATAACGGCTAGATGAGACAAAAATTTATGCAATGATTTAATAACTTCGTTATTCAAGCTTTCTCCTTGGCTACATAAAAAGTATTTTACAAGTTGCAATTCAATTTTGCTAGGACATTTCTTTCGTTTATTGCACAAACTAATGATTTCTAAAGCAAGACTTCTGGTTTCTGCAGTCATAATACAACTTGATAAGGTAAATATTGCTTCGTTAGTAAATTCATCAATAAATAGCTTTCTTCTCAGAGTTAGTAGAATGTAGCCTTTGATATACAGAGGAATAGCTAAGTTCATAGTAACATCATGTAAGCTCATTTTATAAATATTCACTGTACTTGGAATAAAATACTTCAAAATACTTTGAAAAAACTCACTAAAAAATCATCCATTTAGAGAAAGAAAAAAAAAAATGTGTTAAGGACAAATAGGATGCTCACCTTTCAAAATCAGTATACTGAATATGGGTAAAAAAATGAGGCCATATAGTGGTTGACCAAGAGTTCAAATCTCTTGACAATAAAGACTCATATAAAAATCCACCTTCCCTATTCTCTATATTATTTGTAAACATATCCAAGACCTTAAAGATAACTTTCTTTGCAAATATATTATCATGTACTTTTGTTTTAAAATAATTCACAAACTCTGATGTTTCTATTCCTTTTAAAGGAAAGTAGTGGACATCCAGTATTCGATCTACTTGATCAGTATGTAATAATTGTACAACTAATTTTGAAATATTTTGGTTGTGGTACTTAAAACTTTCTAATGGACTTGAGTTTAATTTCTGAATAAACATAAAGAGACTTAATGCTAACTTACTATCTATTATATACCTATATTTTTTTAATATATTATCCAGTATTTTTAAAATGCTCACAGGTATATCAGTGGAAAAATTATTTAAAATGTATTCAATAGTAAATATTATTTCTTCTGTAACTGCATTTTGATTATGTTTCTTAAGAATATCACTATATATAAGACTACCAAACAGTACAGTAAGACAAAAATTCTTATCGTAAATATAAATCTTATATCCTTTCAGCAAAATATAATTAGTCAACTTAATATCATTTAAAATATTATTGACTGTTTGAATATAACTTTCATGTAATTGTAAATTTTTCAAGCATGTATATGTTGATAAAAATAATTTATCTAATTCCTGTTGTAAAATAATATTGGAATTTAAATTTAGAATGTGAGCTAAGGGACTTATATTATCTGTTGCTTGGTTTTCCTGAAATATAGCAGTAATTTAGTATCAAAAACACTTTGTTTATGCTCTATTGTACCATCTGTTTACAGAGTATCTCCATTTTATTCAAATTCTTTGTAATAACACTAAAAATATATAAACAGAGATATAAACTTCTGCTTTTAAATATCCATTACAGAGACTCCATATGGACTCCATCAGGACTCCATTATAAAACTTCCTAAAAGTATCATAACCTAAAATTTTTTGTTTACCATGAACCACAGATAATCAATGATCTTTAGGAATTAATTTGTATATTTAGTTGCATAATATCTAAAGCCAATTATTTAAAAATATGAGGAGGATTTTGTAATAAACATGAGAGATGAAGAATATTTACAGAGTAATTATGATTTTAAATTGAAAGTATATAAATAAGCATAATATGGTTTATTACACAGATACATTCGAGTCTTATGAAAATATGTTATTTCTTTAATGCTTTTTCTTTTGCACGGTCTTCTTTAAATTTTCTTATTAACTCTGGAGGCATTGGAAACATTTTCTCTGTTTTTACCACTGGAGTAAAATCTAAATTGCTAATCTAAAAATTGAATAGTTAGTTTATTATTGTAACCCTGTACATATAATATGCAGAGATTGTCTGTCATAACATACTGATTTCAGAATAGATGTCTTACTTGTGGAAGTGCAGAAACTATGTAACTCCTATATTTAGGATTATTAGCTATTGGGTTACCATGAAATGTAACACTCCTTAATTGTTCCAAAGGCCTTAATTTAAAAACTTCATTTAAGTCCGATATACAGTTACCATGAAAATATAAAATTTTTAAATTTGGAAACTTCAATAAACCCTAAAAAATTGAAAAATCAGATCAACAACAAAACATTTAATAAGATGTTGTCGTAGTTTTTTTAATCTAATCTTTATATTATTTTAAGAAGCACCCCGTAATATAAAATTATTCTACAAAAGTACTACGTAAACTATTGGCTATACCATAAGAAAGACAACATACATTCATAAATATGTATGTATACCGATACCCTTGTAACCGATTCATTTCTTCAAAAAAGTATTTTGAGTATTTTGCCACTAGAAGAAAATCTACAAAATAAAATACCTAGTTACTTGTTACTTTTTGGAAACACTGCTGCGCTTCCTGGAACCTTAAGCATTTTTGGACAAATGAACCCGCCACAAAGGTATAAACATTATTTGTGGTTTGTGGATATGTATTATGATCAAAAAAATGCCGTCAGGTTGGCTTAGAAATGACGATCGATGACATTCTCCATAGCGATCTTCATTTCCAAGCCAATTTTGACACCGTTCTTTTTTTCTCTACAATATAATATTATTTTTTAAGAGAAAGTTTTTTTTTTAAATTACCTCGTCTATTTCTGTTATGTAGTTAAAGGAAAAGTCGATCCAACCCAGGTAAGATGGATACTCTATAACAGCGTTCACCAATTCGTCAACGTTTTTCGTAGTTTTCAATTTATTATTATTCAACCAAAGCGATTTAGTAAGGAACTTTTTCTCAGGCCCTCGATCTGGAACACCGCCTACTCTTGTATACCTAGCACTTTCAAGACCAAATGCTATATAATAAAATATCACAATTATTTAATAACGTTGTAAGCGAGATTGACTATTAAACCCATGAAAATACCTATATTAAATGAATTATTCCTAATACTTATAGGTATAGTTAAAATTGCAAAAAATTGCATGCAACTCTGCAGACCCGGTAAATTTTTTAAATATACCCCTTAAATAGTAAAATAAAACAATACTTTTTTCGTTGTATTATTGTGTATTTGAATATTTTGTATAATGAACTGAGAAGATTGAACTTCTGACTCTAACATATATTCAACTACTGTATGATCTAATAAAAACGGCGTCCAGTTGGCTTGGAAATGACGATCGATGACATTTTCCATATAATTTTACATATAAAATGACAGCGATCTTCATTTGATAGCCATTGCTGACGTCGTTTTTTCGATCATATTGTATTATGAACAAAGATGCACACATGGCCAAAATTATTGCATATAAGGATATTTTTATTTTATTTTGGACCTAATATGATTCTTTTTATATTTTTGGACATATTGCCTTACTACACGACTAATATAAAATTAAAAATCTAAGTGCAACTAGGCTGTTATTATAATTTTATTTCATAATGAATGAAAATCAACAAAAACAAATTTCATTTTAAACAGGAAATATTGAAAACACGTTTAATTATTTCTCAGAACTAATAGTCTGTGTTGCCTCCTCGAGCTCCTCGAACCTCAATGCAAGCTGTGAGACGACGTGGCATGCTCTCAATTAAGTTGTCCAGAAGTTGAGGAATGGCTTCCCAAGATTCGCGCGCAGCAATTTTCAATTCATTTAACGTACGAGGGGGATCATTCCTTTCGGCAATATTTGGTTTTAGCATGTCCCAAGCATGCTCGATCACATTCATATCTGGAGACATCGGTGGCCACCACAGTTTTCTTATACCCTCTTTCTCACAAAATTCGCGAACCGCTAAAGTGCGATGGGGAGGAGCATTAACGTCCATGTAAACAAATTCTTCCCCCACTGCCCCTCGAAATGGACGCACAATGGGCTCTAAAACGTCTCTAAGATATCAGATTAATAAAAACAAGACGAGTTCGAGCTCCGTGCATTATACCTGTATCCATGTCATAACGCTTCCCCCTTAAAACGAGACACGGGGTTGAGCTGCATTCAAGCGTGCTCGTCTTCCAGATGCTCTCCAGACCAAAGTTCGTCGCGAGTCTGACCTAGGCCTATTCTTGTTTCATCACTAAACATGACGAAATTCCAATTAAGTCCATTTGCTCTCATCTCCTCAGCCCATTGTAGTCGCGTAATTTTGTGCTGTAAATAAAGCTTCGGAACACGTAGAGGCCTCCTTAAATGTAATTCTCTGTCATGGAGTCTTCTTGCTATGGCCTTTCTTGAAACATTTACTCCTTCAAGGCGAGATAACTCATTTTTAATAGCAGTACTAGAACGCAGGAGATTGCGTCGTGCAATTAGGGATATTTGACGGTCTTGCACAGCAGTAGTAACTCTCTTTCTACCTCTTCCAGGCCGGTCTGTAACCTCGTTTGTCTCCTTGATTTTTTTTAATATTCGCGAAACATCGCTTAGGTTAACTCCTACAATTTCAGCTATTGCAACTTGCCGGTAGTCCTGTTGAGACAGTGTTATTATTCTGACTCTACTAAACTGTGAAATAATGTTTCTAGGCAGTTTAAGGCCAAAACAATGGTCAACTTTCTTCTGAAACCCAAGAGACCACAAATCGAAATGTGCAAGAATTTGTAATAATATTTGGTCTAAACGATAAACATTGTTTACCATATCCATTTTAACAAAAAAATGTTTATTACAGATTATCAAAGCTATGTATAAAAAAAGATTCTTTAAATCCCTTTCCGTATATTTTTAAACGATACCTATATGCAATAATTTTGGCCATGTGTGTATTTAACCGTGTTTAATATCTTTGATTTTGAATTAATTGAATAAATTATTCATATGATATTTAACTAGCTACAGATCTCTGGCTACAGTAGCATTTAAATAAAAATAAACATATTAACGTATTTAAGTCTGGTGTTAATCCTTACAAACCTGTTAGAAATAAATTCGTGTCAAAAGTATTTAACTTTAAAAATGATAGATCAGCTGGCTTTCCACAATTTGATAAGTCGTCTCCCATTAGTCCCATTTACTAACTTAGTTCGGCAATAAACATATAATAGTACATAAAATACAAAGTAAAATACATAAAATGACTTGTAAAAGTTATAACTGACAATCTATCATTTCGAAGTAATGATTATTACTGATAAATGTATTATTTATAAAAATGTTATTTAAATGTTATTTATTATTATTACTGATAAATGCAAGTTATTCTAAAATTTATAATATTATAGTATACCTTTTATTGTTGTCATCTTTCTGAAAGAATAATCTGCCGGCCTACCACGTTCCATTTTATTTACAATATCCTTAGGAAGTTCCATATTTACATGAAATATTTTCTTCAGATTACAATTCCTTTTGATACTGATTCAGATAGTTTCAATTTGGGAAAAACTTTAAAATTTATTTCGCTTCATTAGAAATATCTAAAGAACAAAATGGTTTTTAAGACCGTATTGAACCGATATCGAAGAACGTCAAAAAACTTTTGGGTTAATTTTGAACAATGTCTTACCTTTGCGCCCTTCAAAGTTAATAGCTCTCACCTAAGCGAGAAACTTGGAGCTGTCGTCAACTAAATTTAGGCCTGGGGATCGATTTCTCATAAGGGTGAAATTATTATAGTTTAAATTTTCACTTTATATTATTGATTTAATACAAGCTAAATATACCAGTATGATGAAACAGTATACAGGGTGGCGCACCTCATTCGCCTCGGTTGATTATACGAAAACGGAAAGATGTAGAAACAAAATATTTTATGGGTATATGTGGGGAGGTAATGTACACAATTTAAAATTATTTTTCAAATATACAGGGTGTTTCAGAACCAAGATCTATACCAAAGTTATATTTTTTCTTATGGAACACCCGGTATTTCATTTTTGGATTCTTGAGTCCAAAAAAAGGCATTTATTATAAGGGTTAAATATGTGTAAAATCTTTGGTTATTGATATATTTAAAGATATTTAAATTTGCATGCCACAATTGAATAGATTATTAACACCCTGTACATTATTTTTCAGAATTAATTCTTGGGCTGAGTTTAAAGGTAAAGAAATAAACTTTATTGAAAAATGGCATTCCTTCCTTAAATTTACACAGGGGTATCAACAATTGCTGATCTATTAAGGATTTATTTTATATAAAAACTTCGTTATTTCAAATGCATCATTCTGTATTTTTTAAAACAATCCGAAGCAGATTCGAACGCTCTTTCAAACTATATTATGGTTTCCTATAGCTATCTAGCTCAGATTTTGAATAAAAAGCGATTTTTTACATAAGATACATACAATCAAGATGTCTGGTGTCGCCATGGCAATTTTCTAGTGACAGTTAGTAATTATTTCCAAAGTCCTCATTAGTTTATGGACAGTATTATTCATAATTTATAACAGTTTACTTAAATTTACCAACAATAGTTTAATAAGAAAATATTCATTACAGTTGAGGGTTGGTGTTACATAGCAAAATAAAACACTAAATCACCACAATACACCAAAACACTTTTACTTTTACAATGGACGCGCGTTTCGCTAACCATGTTAGCATCATCAGCAGATGATTATAAACTCCAAAGTTTAGTACTAAGATTAGGTTATTAGGAGCAGATATTTGGTTTCTTAAATCATGCAAAGCCAATTCAGTTTATAATCATTTGCTGATGATGCTAACATTCTTAATCTAAGATGCTAACATGGTTAGCTAAACGCGCGTCCAGTCTAAAAGTAAAAGTGTTTTGGTGTATTGTGGTGATTTAGTGTTTTATTTTGAAGAAAATATTCATTATTTTATGAAGAAAAATAAAGCAGTATCTGTTGGCGCAACAAATGGATATTTTACTAGTGATTTTATATTGTGAGGAAAATTGCTTCATGGCCTCAAGAGCTTATGCTCAAAGATATCCAAATAGGAATCTTCCTGATAAGCGTTCCTTTGAAAACCTACTTGTCCTATTTCGCAGAGCTGATAGTGTGGTTTATAAAAAACCTATTAGGCAGAAACCTGTTGTTGGAAGTGAAGAAATGAATTTGCTGTAATTGGCTCTTTTATAGAAAATCCATATATCTACAAGTCATCGTAAAATATAATCAAAGAACTACTTCTTCGTTTTTCTTGATAGAATAATAAATATACACATTTAATAAATATTATTTATTAAACTATTGCAGGGGTAAATTAAATAAAAGTAAACTGGTATAAATTTATATACGTCCATAAACTAATTTCGATTTTGAAAATAGCTACTAACTATCACTAGAAACTTGCCATGACGATACTAGCTCTCTTGGTTCCTATTTTATTGGAGAATTGCTCTTTATTCAAAATCTGAGCTGGATAGGTATAGGAAACCCTAATATAGTTTGAAAGAGCATTTCAATCTGCTTCGATTTATTGTAAAAAATACAGGGTATTGTATTTAAAATAACGAAGATTTTTTGTAAAGTAAATATTTAAAATAGATCAGTAATTTTTGACACCCCTGTATAAATTTAAGGAAGCAATAACATTTTTCAGTAAAGTTTAACCTAGCCACCGTGTATATATTTTTTTTTAAATTGTAGATATATGATCATAGTTGGGGGGTTGAGTATAGGTAGTTTTGAGCGTTGAGCTATAGTTTAAATAAATTGTGTTCAAATGCCCGAAACAAAAAAAAGTATTAAGTGTGGCATACCATTGTTTGTACTTAGGAGACTGGATTCTTTCAAAACCTGAAATAAAAAATGCAGGTCCGTATTTAAAGAAATTAAGTTGACATATGTACAGGGGTGGATGGGGAAGTGGAAACCGGCCCGGGAATAACAGGCAACCAGCCCGAATCTACAAAAACAAAATGGCCATAACGAAGAAACATATTTTATTTATTAATATACAGGGTGTCCCAGAAATAAGTGCAAGTATTTTAACTGGTAGTATATTTCGGCCTCAGAAACACGCCTATCAGGTTTTTTGCGAAAATTTGGAATTTTTTTAAGAAATTTTTGGAATTTTTTTTATGTTAAGTTAAAAAACATAATGTCTTGATAATCTGGCAACATAGGTAGTAGATTAAATTTACATGAAAGAAAATCCAGAAAAGATCCAGTGGTTCTCAAAATTTAAGCAAAAAAGCTTTTTTGTTCAAATTTTCAAAGTAAAATAACTCGGTTATTTTGGACTTACTTGAAAAACGGCAAAGAGAAAAATTGTTTCTTTTGACCAAATCTACACCCCTTAAAATACTTGAATTTATTTCTGGGACACCCTGGGTAAGGGTCAATCGCTCGAGTGAAAAAATCTCTTTTGCCTCCGATTTTTTAAAAATATTGAAATTGTCTTGATCAAAATTTTTATAAATATCAAGATCGGGTCTGACATCTGAATTTTTACTAGAAAATAGCTTAGTTTGACAGTTTCTACTGTTTTATTTCCATTATCGATAACGGTCATTTGATCTTGAATATGCTACGATTTTGAATCAGGATTTTGAGAAACTTTAATACTTCCTCATTCATTCAGTTCACCTGGCCCAATCCTCTGTGAAATAGATTATTTTTAGCTTTTCAGATATATACTTTCTTACAGATTGTAGAAAGAAATTCTCTCTTTTCTGGTACAGCAGCAGCCTCGTCATGTATACGTGTTTTAATTTTGGTATAATTCTCATCACGTAACTTTTCCTCGTTTCTACATAGCATCTTGTATGATAATGCCATGACTCAAATGAAAAATACCTAGGCAATACCTATAAGCAGCGGATATAAATGTGTTCTGAGGTAGATGCTATGTTACGGTCCGTAATAAGAATATTTGGATTTTGGAGACATATTAAAATTTTATTATCTAATCTAGCTTAAACTTCATTTAACTCTTCTCTGCTGTCTCACTAATTTTTAGTAAAATTATTCTAGCAAAATTTGAACAACTTAGACTTAATTTTTAGTTCTCAGACTTAGCTTTTAGTCAGTCCCCAACTCAAATCAAGCATAGAGATAGCCATCCACGGTATAGTTTCTTAATCTTTGATATTACGGCACAAAAAGAGATCTAAATACAGAAAAATGGCAACATTTTTTAAAAATAAATCAATTTTTTGTTTAAATTTCAAACTTTAGTAACTCGGTTATTTTGGACTTATTTTAAACACGGTAAAGAGAATATATTATGTTTCTTTTATTCATATCTACCAGCCCCGAAAATATTTGCACAAAGCAGCACAAATAAGGTGCACTTATAGACTCACCTTGTATAATAAAACATTTCAAATGGAACAACAAACAACAGATGTTTATTAAAATTATAAGTGTCTCAGAGAAAGACATCTAACAATAGTTATTTTACAAATTGGTGTTTATGTTTAAAAGCAACTGACGATTATATTGATGCAAATTGATTAGTTAGTTAGGCAGTCACTAAGAATCTTTCGTAACATTAGTAGTTAGAAGATTAACCATTTAATTTTTGCTAAATCAATCTTTTTTGAGCTCTGATCGGGACCGGCCCATCTTCCCACCGACCCACCGGGAATTTCCCCGTTTTCCCATATGGCCCATCCACCCCTGCCTATGTATCTCACAAATTATCTGCTAATTTGAAAATATAAAAACACTATCAGGTAGCCGTGATAAAGTGACTATGAGATGAATATGATGCAATTAGTTTTCGGATGAAATAGGAAAAAATAAAACTTATTTTCAAAAAAATACGTTTTCCCAAATAACTCAGCAATCCTTGAAATTTTGAAAACTTTTTCGATGGCATCTTGGTGAACATCCCAAGGCGTAACTTTGCCCCAATTTAATCGTTTATATCTATTACATATAAACAAGGCTATTACGATCCCATGTTCGTATCAGATACCAATCGTACTCCGTAGCCCGAATTTGTAGCACCCTGTATATTCTATTCCCAAAAGTATTCTCTTGTAATCGTGTATAATTTTCTGTTGTGTTATGTAAAACTTTACAGAAAATGAGTAGAAAATTAAGATTAAATTTTCTTTTACATTAGTAATATACAGGGTGGCGCTTCACATACGACGCGGAGGCTCCAAGGAGAACGATAGTGTGTATTGAAATGAAATTTTGTGAGCAAATGTAGGTAAATTTAGAGCACTCTTTAAAAATATAGAGACTAACAGAAATATACATTCTTTAATTTTTGTTAAACTAACAAAAGCTATAATATCACATACTTTAACAAATAATAAAGATCTACTGACACAAAATACAAAATCATAAAAATGAAAATATAGAAATTAGGAAAACTTATAATAATAATATTTTGAAGATATATGAATCCGAAAATCCATTAATATACAGTGTGGCGCACCTCATTCGCCTCGGTTGATTATACGAAAACGGAAAGATGTAGAAACAAAATACTTTATGGGTATATGTGGGACGGTAATGTGCATAATTTAAAATTATTTTGAAATGTACAGGCTGTGTCAGAACTAAGATCCATACCAAAGTTTGGTTTGGTTTGAATACAAAATCATAAAAATGAA